CTCTGTGAGTCCTGGCAGGGTCTTGGAGAGATAGGACCCACTTATATCTGGTTTTAGAAAGGTCCCAAATGGTCATGTGCAGTATAGATCAGAGGTAACAAGATAAGAACCAGGCAGCCAGAGACATGAGGGGCACCAGGAGGGTACTGGGATGAGCAGGCAGGAGATAAGGTGCATAGGAGTTGACCTTGTCATATGAAAGAGTGGCTGGGGGGGCTAGAGGCAGCCATGTCATGGGGCTGGGTCACTGTGGGCCCAGAACCCAGGGAAGGCTTTCTGCTGATGGGTCACAAGAATGACTGTGAGGGACAGGGAGCATCTGAGTGTGGGACAAGTGAAGGAGAAAGGGAGTACCCAAGAGAGACCATCAGGAAGTGAGAAAAAAATATTTCTTTCCTTACAATGCATAGCTGACAAAATATCTACACACACACACACACACACACACACACACACACACCACCCTCACTTTGCATTTGGCCCTCACAGCACACCTATGGCCTCCCTGTCATCATTTCTTGCTTACTGAAGAGAGATTGAGGCCCAAAGAGGTCTAGAAACACTCTAGACTCACACAGAGCCAAGTTCACCCTGAACCCCAGGGCAAGGCTACTTGTACAGTAACCCAGACCAGCAGTGTCCAACACCCAGGCTGCAGCCTGACCAGTGACATCAGAAGCTCTGGGTGTGGGACCCAGGCACCAGTATCTTTAAAGCTCCTCAGGTGGTTCCAGTGTGTCGCAGGAGTGGAAATTGCTGCTTTATATGCTAGTCACAGCCTCCAAGTTGACCCAGAATGATTATTAATAGCTCTTCCTTTCATTCTCCAAGGTGACCCAATTTGGAAAATGAAGTATATGACTGTCCCTTCTTATAACCTACAAAAATAGGGAATCACGGGATAAATTTATTTTTAAACTCTTTAGTTACATTTTCAAATAATTGGCTCAGTAGGGTTTTCTTCAATCTCAAGACTCCCTTTTTAGGTGAAATTCCCCTAAATTGGGTTGGCAAGCTAAGGCCCATAGTCCAAATCTAGCCCACTGCCTGTTTTTGTAATAAAGTTTTATTGGAACACAGCCACACCCACTCATTTCCGGCTTATCTAGTGCTACTTTCTGCTGCAACAGCAGAGTACAATACTTGCAACAGAAACCATATGGCCCACCAAGCCTAAAATATTTACTATCTGACTGTACAGAAAAAGTCTGATTTGCCTGTTTATAACATTGAGTCCAATTGTTAAGTTATATTATATACCTGGGTGTCCCAAAAGATGGATTAGGAAATTGAATGACTAAGGTCAACCCCACAGGCATTCAGCCATGCCTATGTGACCCCCAATTAAAGTCCTTTTGTTTGTCTGTCTGCTTGTTTAATACAGTCTGAGTAGAGACTTATCTATGGCTATCACACATATGCAGCAAAGGTGTCCAGGGGTTCCTGTAATTTGAGGGTTCCCAAGACTATCCTCAGTTTCCACAATTTGATAGAATTAAATTAATTACTATTAATTAAATTAATTACAAAATTCAGAAAAGCTCTTATACAGTTAATTATGACAAAAGGTACAGATTAAAATCAACAAAGGAAAAAGGCACATTGATCAGAGTCCAGGAGACCAAGGCACAAGGTTCCAGTTGCCCTCTCCTAGTGGAGTCTCAGGAACAGTGCTTGCTTCTCCCAGAATAGTGCATGACAACACGTGTGGAGCACTGCCTGCCAGGGAAGCTCACTCAAGCCTTGGGGTCCAGGGTTTTTACTGTAGGTCAGTCACATAGGTGTGGCTGACTGCCTGCGTGGCTGACCTTAGTCACTCAATTACCCACCCCTCTAGAAGTCAAGCTGATACACAGCGTGGCCCAAGGCCCCCATCATAAAATCACATTGTTAGCATAGACCATCCAGTGTCTGTTAGTGGCCCAAGTCCCCCAGGTAAAGAAGGGCATTGTTGCCAGGAAGGATATACCAAAGACTTAGAGGTTACCTTCTAGGACCAGGTCAAGGGTCAAATCTTTCTTTGGAATGTGCAGGGTGTGGACAACCCAGACTTGATGACTTAATTCTTTATTTATTTATTTATTTATTTATTTTTATTTATTTTTTTGATGACTTAATTCTTTACTGCACACAGTTCCTCTTACTGGTCCAGCTACCTGGTAAGGAATTCCAAGGTAACACTAGCGCCTCTTTTAATGCAACAGGCTCAAGGGTCAGACAGCAGGCTCAGTCCTCAGTACATCCCAGCCAGTTGGGCAGCACTAACACAGCCCCATGCCTGGTCTCCACTCCAAACCAATTAGATTGAATCCTCCAGGGCTGGGGCCTGGACATCAGTACTTGCAGATTGTATCCCTAGAGATTTGTTATCGAGACAGATTTGAGAAGCCCCAGGTATAGGCTCGGATCACCCCTGTGGGCACGGTGGAGGTAAGTATAGTGGAGAGGTGTAGATGCAGGGAGCATGTTCTTCCTGGAGAGTCAGGAAAGGGTATGCTATTTGTGCAGGGCCTGGGGAATCAGCAAGGTTTAAGTCTAGGGGAGCGGGACAGATAGGGACAGAGGAGCACAAGGGACAATAGGCTGGAAGGAGAGACAGAGGCTTAATCCCCTAAAGCCTTTAATGCCTTTGGACTTGGTCTCATGGCTAATGGGCATCTAGTGAGGCTATTTGGTGCTGGGGTATGTCAGGCTCAGAGCTGTGCTTTAAAGAAAGTAGTCCCTTGACCAATGCAAGCTAGACTGTAAGTGTGGGGGAAAGAGGGAGAGGGCAGCCAGGGCAATAGGGACCTGCTGAGCAGTCCTGGGAACAGAACCATCTGCCGTTAGTTCACTCATTGCATGCCTGCTACTGTGTGATATTCACTGATAGACCCCATTCTAGGCACTGAGGGCCAAGAGTGAATATCACATGGTGCCTGCCATTAAAAGCCTGGCAGACAGGGAGAGAAGCAATCAACAAACATATACTGTATCAGGTGAAGCTAAGTGCTGTGGAGGAAGATACCACAGGGTAAGGGGCGTGGGGAGTGAGAGAAAGCTTTCTATAAGAGAATGGTGTAGAGGCCTCTCTGATAAGGTGACATTTGAGAAAAGTGAGTGAAATTGACATCCTCAGCCAGGAGAGCAGTGGGAGAACATACTACGGAGAGAGAGAATGGCAAGTGCAAAGGCCCAGAGGTGGCCATGAGCATGATAGTGAGAGTGGTATACAGTGGGGCTGGAAATATGGGGGCAAATGTGAAGACATTTATGGAGAATCAAGAAGATTTATGACTAGTTAGATGGTGGGTGGATGATGTGACTTCAGTTTGGCTTAAGGCAGAGTTGCTTAACACTTGCTACACTTTAAAATCATGTGGTGACCATTTAAAAATTACAGTGTCTGTGCTTTATTGTTCTGTTTATCTGAAGTTGAAAAGTAGACAAATCACCCAGAATGTATAAGGAACTCTGACCTCTCAATAATAAGCTGGCAACGCAATTTTAAAATGGGTAAAAAAATATGACATGTCCTAAAAGAAGATATGCAAATGGCCAGTAAGCCCATGAAAAGATGCGCAATATAATTTGACATCAGGGAAATGCAAATTGAAACCATTGAGAGCCCACTAGAAAAACTAAAATTGAGACTGACCCTACAAGTGCTGGCAGGGATGTGGCGCAACTGGAACTCTCAATACACTGCTGGTAGGAATGGAAAATGTGGCAGCTACTCTAGAAAACAATTTAGCAGTTTCTTATAAAACTAACATAAATTTTAGCAGATAACCTGGCATTCCACTTCTATGTATTTACCTAAGGGAAATTAAAAACATATGCTCACACAAAGACTTTCTTATATGTGAATATTATAGCAGCTTTATCCATAAGAGCTGACAACAGAAACAGCTCAGGTGTCCAGTAACAGGTGAATGTATGAACAACCTATGATACTACCAGTAATAAACAGGAATGAATTAATGATGCGTGCAACAACATGGAGAATCTCTAGAAGGTAGTACTAAGCATGTGTGTATGTGCACGTGCGCGCGCACACACACACACACACACACACACACAAGAGCAAAACAAAACACAGAACAAAACAAAAAGAAACCACAGACTTCCTACTACATGATTCCAATTATATGAAATTCTAGGAAAGGCAAAAACTGAGTGACCAAAAGCAGGAGTTTGCCTGGGATTGGGAGCACACAGGGGCACAAAGGAACTTTTTTGGTGTGAAAGAAATGTTCTACAACGATGGTGGTGGTGGTTTACACAAGTATATGTATTTGTTAAGACTCATTTCCACACATAAAATGGCACATTTGATCGTCAATGAATTATACTTCAATAGAGCTGATTAAAAAGAAAACAAAACTCATCTTTAATGGCAGAGGTCAAAACAGTGGTTACTTGGGAGAAGGGAGATAACTGCCCAAGATAGCCTGCGGGGGAACAGGAATACCCCATACCTTGATCTGGGTGGTCACCATAGGGATGTATACTTATGTAAAGATTCACTGAGCTGTATACTCAGGACTTATGCATTTTACCATGTGTAAATTATACTGAAAATTTAAAAAGTAGTCATGTCTGAATCCCACTCCTAGAAATTGGGATTTAATTGGTCCAAGGATGTGCCCAAGCTATATTTTAGGGGCTCCTAGGAGAGTCTAATATCCAGCCATAGATGAGATCCATCTATGAGAGAGTGTTTTTAGAGACAGAAAAGGGCAGTGTTGAGTCTGAGCAATGAGGAGTATTCTGATGCCATCTGCAGTCTGGTGGCATATTCAAGGCTGAGGAGGATGCTCAGCTCAGCTTTGGCTTTCAGGGGATTCGAGGTAAGGTTGGGTCTTCTGAGCTTCTTTATGGACACACACAAATATACTCAGGGTACTCCAGACTTGGAGGCTGTAGAAAGGACTAACTGTGTGCGGAGTAATCTTGGGAAATGTGTACTTGGTGGGGTTTGCTTCAGTGCAGGCTTCTTTTCCTACGCCTGGGGCACGATGGCAGCAGATGAAGGCACACAGGACACCTTGCAGCTCCAGTTCAAGGCCATGCAGGAGATGCAGCACAAAAGGTTACAGAAGCAGATGGAGAAACAGAAGGAAAAAGAACTAAGCCTCAAAATCAAAGTCGATGACCAAAAAGAGCCCTTGAAGATCTCCGATGGCTTCAGCCTTCTCCAAGCTGGGGAGCAAAACTCAAAAAACAGCTTTGAGCAGAGGTAAATGCGAGTTTGAACTCCCCCAGGAGCACTGGAGGGAGGTAGGGAAGGTGAGAGAGAGAGAGCTGATTACAGATGGCTGGGCATTCACGTTGACTAGATGTGTTTATAAGTTGAGCCACAGAGGTTTGACACAGAGGTAGGTGGTTACTGAGGAATTGCATCTGATAGAGCTGTGTTCCGGTGGATATGATTTGATATGAACTGTATTTAAAAATCATTTAAAGTCAAATGGAAAATTTGAAACTCATCAGAGTGTAGTTTATTCACTTGAATTTTCTTATTCAGCTTCTCTTTCATGAAAACTGTGTTTGGGTTTCTGAGGAGCTGGCTGTCTAACTCTGATGGGTCTTAAATTTTCATTGCTCCTAATTGTCATCTGGGATCATTCTCCAATGTCATTTCCCTTCCCTGACCACCCATAAACATACCTGTGTAAAGATTTCTTGATGGGTCCCTTGGTTTTTCACAGTTGGTGAAAAGGTTGTAAGGAGTCCAGAATCTTCTCATTTTGCTCTAAATCCAACAATATCACAGATCCATGTTGATTTATACTTGTTATTAGAAAAAGAAGGTTATATTGATACAAAATTCTCTGCTAGTAAAAACAAAAACAAAAAACCCACAATACTTGAGCTGTCTCTTTGCTTCTGGTTTGGCCCAGAATCTATCTTCTCCATTTTCAGATTCTACTTTTTATGGTTTCTCAATTTTCAAAATATTCTACTAAAAAATGCTAATTGAGAAAAATGTACAGGCTGCTCAAAAATGGAAAAAGTCCCCATGACTCCTAAATATTAGCTCCAAATTAACCCCAGGCCTATTTCCCAATGATCTTTCCTCAAATCAGAGAAACCAGAATTGATGGAGACTTTAGCCTTTGGTAGAATAACAACAACTGACTGGTGGCTCAGTCAGTTAAGCATCCAACTCTTGATTTTGGCTCAGGTCTTGATCTCAGGGTCATGAGTTCAAGCCCCACATTGGGCTCTGTGCCTGGCATGGAATCTACTTTAAAAAAATGATGATGATAATGATAATATCAGCTTTCCTAATAATTATTGTTCCCTCTAACTTCTGTACTTGCTCCCCCCCCCACACACACACCTGTCCCTAGGGAATCCGTTCCGTGCCTCACAGAAGTGATCACAGACCCATCAACCACGTGTTTCTCATGTTTTAAAGGGCTGAAGAGAGCCTGGCAAGACGACTCATAATAAAAAAAAACCACAGCACCTGCTCTGATTTTCTATCGGTTTACCTAGAGGCCTAGCCTTAACTGTATGTGTATATATACATATATATATATGTATGTATATATATATATGTATATATATATATAGTTACAACTATAAATGTCCAAGTATCACTTTAGGTGCATTTCACGAACTTTGATGTATATCACCGCTGCACTCAGTTTGTTCTAAATATTTCATAATACACGTTACAATTTCTTCTCAACCCTCAGTAATTTAGGAGTATGGGTTTTTTTAGTCTCAAACGGATGATGGATTTGGGGCTTTGCATTTTTATTTTATTTTTTGCTACCTTTTTAGTATGATTTCTAATTTTAGTCAATTGCCATTAAAGAAAATGGCCTGTATGATGTCCACTCTGGAATTTGCTAAGATTGCCTTTGTGACCTATAATATAATACATTTGTATCCATGTTCTGTGGATGCTTGAAAGAGTATGAATTCTTAGAGAGAGGTAGTTGATTTTATAGCCCTCTCCTAAGCCTGTAGTAAACAATGTTATTCAAACTTTTTGTGTCCTTTCGTGTGTGTGTGTGTGTTTGTGCATGTGTTCATAGTCACTCAGTTTTGAGAACAGTGTTAAAATCTGCTCATTGACATTTTCTATTTCATACAGACTGTTCTTATCACCACCTAGTGTCTAACCAGATACAGCAAACCTGACTCCCACCCACTGGTCCCTGTAATTCTGCCTTTGCCCTTGTAGGATGCTTGAAGATGAGATTGCACACCTTCGAGAGCAGCTCAGGGAGACGGTAGATGAAAACGGGCGATTGTATAAGCTGCTGAAGGAAAGGGATTTTGAAATCAAACATCTCAAAAAGAAAATAGAAGATGACAGATTTGCCTTCACAGGTAGCTCCACCCTTGCTGTGACAGTGCCTGCCCTGAGTTCCACGTAGCTGGCCCAGCTGCCATGGAGCCTTCCGGGCAGGGCAAACAGCAGGTTCCAGAGGGTAGGTGCTTCAGAGAGTGCCAAGGGTCAGCTGCGGTCAGGCTTGTCCAGATAAGTTCTGGAAATGAAGGAGAGGGTGGAGGAAGAGAACAGGCTAAGGAAGCCAGCATGCCAGGAAATGGGAGTGCAAGAATAGCAGGGACAGTGGGCAGGCTTTCTGGGTAGTGTTGGTAACCCAGCTAGGACTCACGACAGGGCTTCGCCATGGATGCTCACTCACTGCGTGTTGACAAACCAGCAAGGTCCCTTTTATCCTGCTGCTCTGGCTCAGACATTGTATTGTGGATGTGAAAAAGCCCCAGTGGAAGTAGGCATTCACTCTACAGCACTTGCTGCTTCAGAAAAATGGTTGAGACAGGGAAGGTAGCTGTGTTGAGGGGATTTCCTAGGACTCAGTAGGGTGTAGCGTGAGGCTTGGCCCTTCAGGTCTGGGCTGGACTTTGGCTTTGTTGGTAGCGATGTTGGTCAGCCCTACGGACCCGAGGATGACCTTAGCTTTGTGGGTGTGAGCTGGACATTGGCTCTGTGGTTATGAGCTAGACCTTGGCCCTGATTGTCCTCTGTTCCATATACACCCATTGAGTAATTCCCAGGTAGCTGACTAAACCAGAAAGCTGGTGTAATGAATCACAGATACCAATGGGCCTCAGCTGGCATCTGTCAGAGCGTCCCTCCCTGCCTCTGAGAGCCAGTGTCTTTAAGGGTAGGTGCATGCAAAGCACCAGTACAGAGTTAAAAAGCAAGGGAATTTGGTATCCTAAAAGCCCTTGGTAGCCTATTGTGTTCTCCCTCCATTCTTTGGCCTTTTCTGTCTAAAACAAAAACCACACTGAGGAAAGGGACTTGTGAGGCATAGAAACACACCCAGCCTGGCTTGGGTTTAGATGAATAAGGGCAGCTTGACATTCAGCAGAAGCTAATGCGCTCCAGGGAAGGGAGCAGGAGATGCTTCCTCATCCTGGGAGACTGGGGCCTGAGGGCTACTCGCTCTTGCCTAGCCTGTCCCATGCTCTCTCCTGGTCTCTGCCTACTTGTTCATGGTCTTGTCTGATTGCCAGCCCTAACTCTTCCTCAAGACGCCTTAGAATCCACTCCTTGCTGTGAGGTCCCCATTTCTAATTTCCAATGTAACGTTTGAAAGAGAAAAGTCTGACTGCCTGGCCCATGGTTTTAGACCAGGCCACAAGTGACAGGCCACTGACAGACTGGTTTTCCTTTAGCTGGATTTTTAGTGATGGCTTTAATTTTTTTTTTAGACGGTATTTCTCCATATGATATTTCTTTGTACGATTTTTTAGTGATTGCTAAGTTGATCACAAATTATATAACTTTTCACAGTCTACTTAGAATTAATATTTTACCACTTCAAGTGGAATGAAGAAACGACCACCATATCGGTCCCCCAGCTTTTAGATGTCTATGTTTTATATGTCTATGTATTGAAAATCCCAACAGACAATGTTATAATATTTGCTCTCAACCATTACACATAGGGTAACCTAAGGAGACAAAAGTAGTCTATTATATTTACCCACATACTTAGCATTTTTGTGCTTACCCATTCACTGCCCCCCGCCCCCAATCATGGGGTTAAAGTTTTAAGAGTAGGGCTTGGGGGGAAAAACAGATTTTTCTGAGTACCCCTTCCTGCCCTTTAGACTAGAAAAGGCCTCTCTTGGACCTCTTCATTACCTCTAGTTCCAGGATTTTTTATTCCTGGAAGGAAAACATAACCCAGAAAACTCATGGCTGGACCATGTGTACTTCTAGATATGGTTTCCATCCCCATGTTCTGAGCCCTTCCTCTTGAAGCATCCCCAACCTCTTCAGCAGATAGGAGGTGGCCAAGGATAGTTGCTCCCAGTTTCTCTACTCACTGCCTGGCCCAGGCTAGCAGCAGCAAGCCTGGGCTGAGTCGGTTTGAAAACCATCAAGCCTGCCTATTTACCTTCCACCACTTGTCACTCCCAGGCTGTTATGAGGCTCATGACAGTCGTATTAAAAAGCAGGACTAGGCAGGTGTCTCTGCCAGTTACCCACTCCTGGAGTGTCAGAAGCATTCAGAGAACTTGCAGACCATCTGACCAAACATGCTGTTGCACAAATGGACAAGGGACTCTAAGGCTAGCCAGGCAGTCTATTGGGCTGCTATCTGCATAGCCCCACACCACTCAGTTTCCCACATTCACACCCTTCCAGCCACCTCTTCCACAGTCTCCTGCCCTTGTCCCCTGTGTTCCAGCTACTCTGCCCTGTTTGGTGGTCTTAGATACTCCAAACAAGTTCCTGCCTCTGGACCTTTAGCACTTGCTGTGTCCTCCTCTTAGAGTGTTCTTCCCAGTTGGGAACACTCTTCTTGATGGCTTTCTCCCTCACTTCATTCATCCAGGTCTCTGTTCATACATACCTCCTCAGATAGGCTTTTCCTGACCACTCAGTCTAAAATAGTGTCACCTATCCCTTTCATTCTCTTGTCCAGCTTTCTTTTACTTCATAGCACGTAGTCTTCCTGGACACTGGAATACATATTTATTTGTTTTTTATCATCTATCTCCCTGGCTAGAATGTAAACTCTATAAATCTTTTTTATGCACCATTGAATCCCTAATACAGAGAGTATCCAACCCTTCATGAAGCCCAATAAATACATACTAAATGGATGCTTGCATTTGTACTAGTTAGGTGTCACCACAAAACTCTGTGCAAGAAACCACCACATAATGTCAGCAGCATTCAGCAAGAAGCATGTATTGAGCTCAAACATCTGGGGTTAATTGGGGCTTGGCAGACCTAGGCCAGGCCTAGCTAGGGTGGTTCAGCTATGTGCCACGTTTCTCTTCCTCTTCCTGGGACCAGCCAGCTGGCCTAGCTGTGTTCTTCTTGTGGAGATGGCATGAGCAAAAAGAGGGGGATTTAACTACATAAATGCTTCTCAAGCCTCTACCTGTGCCTTATTTGCTGACAACTAATTGGCCAAATAAGTCATTGGCTGAGCCAGAGTCAGGCAGGCATAGAAGGGTCGAGGAAGTATATCCTATTGCCTGGAGGGCACAGTAGAGTCATAGAGCATAGGATGTGGATGTGTAACCTGTCACTGAGGAGGGCATGAAAGGCATGAAGAATTGGGGCAATAAACTTATATCCCATAGAAATAAAATTTATAATTTTCTGAGTGGCTGCATTTCTATTCATGGGAGTTGGGTTTCAGGGTGACTAGGTATGTCATAACTCCCCTGAGCCTCTGCCCTTGCCTGGGTGTTCCAGCTTTTAAAACCCTGGGGCCATTGGTAGTGTGGCATGAGTTTGATGTGTGGGCCTGTGCATTTCATTGACCTTACTGTTTCCTTCATCATAGGGACAGCTGGTATGGCCGGGGATGTGATTGCCACCAAAATTGTCGAGCTGTCCAAAAAGAACCGGGTGCTGACGGCAGAGTCAGAGGGTGCGAAAACCAGAGTGAAGCAGCTGAGCAATCGCATCCAGGACCTGGAGCGGGAAGTGAGGGGCCTTAGTCATTCCTGCCTCTAGAGGGGACTTCCAGGACCCTGGACCACTCCTTGAGAGAGGGAGCCACAGTTAGATGCTTTGGGTCTTTCTGAAGGGCCTGTGGGTCAGCGTGTGCAAAGAGTCCCTCAGTCTTCGCCATGTCCTGAAAGGGGGAAAGTGTGTCAGGAAGCAAGAGGTCAGAGGGCATGGAGAGGCAGCCATCATGGTGGTTAGGACACAGACCCAGAGCCTGACCGCCTGGGTGTGAATTTCAGCTCCATCACTGACATGCTTTGTGACTTCGAGCAGGTTATAAATTCACTGTGCCTCAGTTTCCTCCATCTGACACATGGCAGTAATAATAGTACTCACCCTAAGGTTTTTCTGAGGATTAAGAGACTCAATAATATAAAATGCTTCGGCAGTGCTGGGCATGTAGCAAATGCTAGATAAATGTTTGTTACGTACATTAACAGGGATCTTTGCTAAGGTGAAGCTAGACCCCGGCGCACTCCACCAGTGGGTCTCACTTCTGCCCATCTTCCTCTTTCTGCTGCTCCCTGCCGTCCCACAGCTAGTCACAGACCACCCCCCCCCCCCCCGCAATCTTGCAAGGACACAACCCAAGGAATTCATGGTCTCATAGGAGCTGGAATGGAATCTGAATGCTAGAGAAAACCTAGCTCCCTTATGTGGGCTGAAGAGGCTGGAGCTCCGAGAGGTTAGAGGGCTTTCTCGAGTCACACAGCACATGGTGGTGCTGTATTGCAATTCCAGTTCTGTTGTCCTCTGGAATTGTTCTTAGTTGTTATTCTGGGCATCAAATTAGAGCTTCTTTACTCTATAACAAATTGTCTGAGAACCATCTCAGGCTCTGTGCCAGGCCCTCTACTGGGGAGCAAGATAGGCATGGACCTTGCCCTCCTCAGAAGCAGATCCAGCACCGAAGGCCTCTCAGAGGAGGGGGCACACACAGTGGGTCCCTGGAGGGTGGGAAGGGGTCACAAGCAGAGGGCCCAGCAGACACCAAGTCCCTGAGTGGGGAAGAAGGTCTGAGAGGAAACCTGTGTGGCCAAGAATGAAGCAAGGTGAGGTCAGAGGTGGGAGGGCAGGCCACCCCCGGCCTTGTCAGAAATAGTCTATCTTTCTGTGAACAGTTGGGAAATTTTTAAAGGGTCAGTTGGCTGTCTGTATGAAGTGCCGGGCTTGGCAATAGGCCATCAGCTCATGTGGCAGGTTTCTTAGCATCTCAGACCCTGTCTTCTTGTCTACTGCACGAAGTCCATCGTCTGTTTACGTACGTAACACCTCCCAGATTGTGGGTAGAACTCTGGGATGCAGACCATGGCTGCAGTATTATGTATTAAGCTGTTAGTGAATCCTGGTGTGTGCCTGGGGAGTGAGGCAGACAATCAATTAGGCCCTCTCCCATCGCAGAGCAGTTTGAAGGGCAGAGCTCTTCCCTTAATGGTCCTAAAGTGAGCTGAACAGTGAAACCAGTAAGCACACGCCCAGCAGTGGCAGGGGAGCACTGCACTCAGGCACCACAGTTGCCAAGCACGATCCATATTAAGTGCAAGGTTTGCTTTTCAGCTGCAGAGGGCCCTGGCCAGGCTACCAGCCAAGATGGCCACCGACGCGGGAGCCAAGGCGCCGAGGGCTCAGACGGCAGACAGAGCCTTGGTATGAGTTCTCTTCTGTGCTAGAGAGTCTGTGGGGCAGCTGTGGGCCTGGCTCTCCTGTCCTCTATGGGAGGGTAGGCGCCTCTGTTTGGGGTCCACCTCCACCCCATTGCCTGGCCAGTGCAGCATCCTTAGAGTGGTTGTCAGGGAACAGTAACCGAGTCTGTGGCTTGAGGCCAGGCATGCCCCCAGGGAGGCCAGAGAAGGTCTAACTCTGATCAGCCCCCAGCGAGGGAGACCCTGGAACCCTAGAATTTCAGGACCAGCAGGGAAGGCCTGCTCCAACTGGCCTCCTACTCTTGGCCCAGCAGCATCCCTTACAGCATCCTCACTGGGGAGATATCCAGCCTCTTACTTACCCCAGGGACAAGGAGCTCACTACTGCTCCTTGAGCCTAGTTGGGCCAGTGGGGAGCACATTTCATATTGTGAGAAGTCTTGCCTTTTTAGAACTCCAAGTCTACAAAATAAAAGTGACTGTTGGGAATGGCGGCTTATTTCCTACATTCCAGTCCACTGAACCAGTGAATAGGGCCTTGAACCCAGGAAATGGGAATTGCTGCTCCATAAAAGGAAGGCAGTCTGACCCTGTGGACTACCAGGGAAAGGCATGGAGCCCACACTAGATAGTAGGTAGCATCAGAGTCTTAAGAACAATGCCTCCCCAGGGGTTTTCATAGGAAGCCTGGAGATACAGGGAGTCAAGCCTTAGGACTACCTTGTCAGCGCTCCTTTTCTAGCTCCACCTCCTTTTTGCCTACAACTCAGCATCAAGCCACCTCGTGCCTGTGTTGAGGAGGATTCAGCCTTCAGTCTACAGCGACAGGCCCTTCGGTTCCAGGAAGGGAACTCACTGGGCTGCATGTTAGTCTAGTGTAAACCTGTCTCCTTGCTAGGGAGGCAAGAGAGGGGCTCTGCCCTTGGCAGGGGCTGTTCTGAAGGACTTTTCCTGGCTCAGCTGCTCCTGGTTTATCTACAACACAGAACATTTCCATGTCCCTGACTAGGCTGCCATTGATGGGAGACTGACAGGATTTTCTGAGCTCTGTGACATAAGGAATCAAAGACAGGTCCTCTGTACAAAGGGGAGCCCAAGAGGGGATGGGTAGCCATGCTGAAGGGAGGAGAGGAACAGGGCCTTCAGAAAGAGCCCCAGGCCCTCAGAGTTCACAGGGGGAACACACCCTCCATGTGAGGCAGCTGGGACATGGGCTGAAGGAGGGGTTCCTGTGGTGGGCCTGTTACAGAAGGAAGATGGGGAAGGGCCCTCCAGCAGGAGCAGTATAAGCATGGTGGAGAGGCCGGTGAGCACTAAGTATTCTGTTTCCTTGCTGGGTGTTGGCTGGGCAATGTTTGGCTGCAGCCCAGCCTCCCACAAGAGGGAAAGGGGAATGTAAGCTAGAGGAGGCTGAGTCACCCATGGAGGGAGGCCTTGACCAGCAGCTGGAGCTGGAGCACTCAGCTCTGCTCGGTGGCTGCAGGGAGCCCGGTAGGCTTCTGATGGAAGAGTGGGTGACAGGCTGTCAGCCTCAGTTCAGCAGTACCCTGTGTTTCCAGGGCACCTTCTGATCAGAGAAAGGACGAAAGCAACGTGCCCCCTCACTATGCGGTTCAGGGTAGCCCAAGTCTGAACCACATTTCAGAGGCCTGCGATCACTGCACATTCCGGCCCCCGTGTGCCAAAGCACATTCCAGAGTGGACCTGAATGCCCTGTCTCCATTTGGCATGGTCGGTGTGGGGCTCCTAGAGGCTATGTCGTGAGCAGCATTGGCATTGTCTGTTCCCCTCGGACTGCATGTCAGTTATTCCCTCAAAGAAAATAGCACAGGGAACGGGAGGATTAGGCCCATGCTCAGGTCTCCCACAAAGCCTGTGGAATTTTGCTCCAGGCAGAAGCAGCTCTGAGATGGCAACGACATAGAGTTGGCCCAGCTGTCCAGGAGGAGAGGACTGGGGGCTTGGCTGAGCAAAGGGGAGAAGGCTGCCATGAACATGGGGCCAGGCCTCACTAGGACACCAGCTAGGCCTCAGCACTCTGCCAGCTGCTCACCCCAGCAGCACCTCACCCCAGCCAGGCTAGGCACCCCAGCACTGTCCTCTGTCAGAATCTGCCCCAGACAGAGTTCTTCATACGCATCTCCTCTCAACTCATACGGCAACCCCCCGCCGCAGGCACTGGTGTTAATACAATCCTATTTTACAGATGAGGAACCAGGCTTGGAGAGGGGAGTCATTGCCTGGGTTCTAGATCCGGGTCCAAGATGTCTGCCCTTCCCATGCTTTGAGCAGGCTCACAGCTGTGAACCCATCCCATGGGATGCTCATAAACACAACTCCTGCACCACCTGTCAGGGCCAGTGGGCCCATGGCATCAAAGACCTGACAGGCAGAGGTATTGCTTGCCAGCCTTGGGCAGATGCAAAGCAGCACCTTAGCAGGGGCAGGACAGGCATCCAACAGCAGTAAGAAGGAATGGCAAGCAGCCAGACTGGGGGGAAGCACGCGCGCGCGCACACACACGTACACTTGCACGCATACACAAATTTTTAAAAAGATACATCTGTGTTTTATGTAAGTTCCCAGTGTATACTCTGTTCACATTGGTTATTCTGTTTAGCCTCATGGTGGTGCTGTGAAGAAGCAGGACAGGGAAGTGCTTGTATACCCATTCCGTAGGGGAGGAAACCGGATGAGGTCAGACTTCTTGGACTGTGTGTCCGCTTCCCGATCAGCCCACTCGTGATGCCTGGGTGCCGGAAACAGCCTCAAGGGGGAGAATCAGCGCTGGGGAAGGACTGGGCTTCTTCTAATCCAACTCATGTCACCCCCAACAGGCTGCGTGCCCCAGGGCTAGTTACTTCCCCTCTCTGGGCCTTATTTTCATCACTTATGGAAGGGGTTCCCATGGGCTGACTGTGGAAATCCCTTTAAGGCCAAACTTCTGTGAGTCTCAGAAACTTCTACCAAAGACAGAAATGGGTGGCACATTTGAGAAAAATTTACATCCAAGTAGTTTAAATCAAACCTTATTAAAAAAAAAAAGATATTTCTATGAGTTCCAGCAGGCAGTTTTCATGATTGCTACAGTTCTTCAAGCCACAGAAATGGAACATTTGGCAATGAAACAGGGTCCTTATTTCTGTTTAGTGATTTCATTGCCAGGAAAAGGAGCTCAGGGCCCAAGCTGATGGGTTTCAGGAGAAGGAGGCCTCAAGTTAGGATGGTTGTGATCCTCCTGCCAAGCGAGGGTTGCCTTCTGTGATGGAACTAGTCCTCTCTTTATTCTGAGTGGGGACAGGTTAGCTGCAATGCCAGTCTCTGGAGCACAGCAGAGAGTGCCCACACTTTGGAAGTGTCTGGGAGCTATGGATCCCACAGGCTCCCCTCCAGGGGTTCCCCCTTTGTGGCCACCACCTGCATCCATGGATGTGCGATACTCTGAGTGAAAGGTTCAGCTCCCAGAGGTGGGCTGCCAGATTCATGTCCCTGCTCCAGCTTTTCCAACCAGGTCTCCCCAGCCAAGGGGATGCGCCCCTTCTGCCAACCTCTGCTTTGCATCTAGAAGGGGCTGACAAAAGATTAAATGAGTTGCCCCTCATGGAGCATCTAGCATGATGCCCAGCACAGACCTGGTTGAACGGAGCCTATGATTATTGTTACTCTTTAGGCAACAAGTGACTACTCTCTCCTCTCACCCTGCCCAACTAGCCAGAGACCCCAGAGGTGAAGGTGTTGCAGGACAGGCTGGCAGCCACAAACCTGAAGATGAGTGACCTCCGCAACCAGATCCAGACAGTGAAGCAGGAGCTCCGGATGGCCCAGAAGGTATTCCAGAGCCAGGGGTCAGATGTTCTTGACTGGCTGGGATTGGGAAGAGCATGGCCAGAACAATGGGTTCCATTCAGGAGCAGCAAGGGCTTGGCCCCATGAGCATCATGCTGCTTGCTCTGGGTCAGGCTCCACATCCAGTAACTTCCTTCTGTCCACCCTTCATGCAGACCATTGGTGATTAGGGTTCTCGGCTGCCTGTAGACCCTAGTGGTACCCTTCTCACCCTGGACAGAAGAGGACAGTACCACCTACCCAGGGAGAGTTCTGTAGACTTTCCTTGTGCTACATGTACCCTAGTAGATCCTAGGTCTCTCCTTAATAAGCCACCTTGGACTTGGAAGCCTGCCAAGACTTGCCTCCTGCCCTCTACCGTCTGTAATATTAGAAAATGAATAGGTTGTTTGTGTATTAAAGACCCCTTTCAAAGGAAAATACTCAGACTTGGGACACAGGCCCAGCTGCTTCATTATTTATTTTTATTTACATAGTGAATTCTCTGGCATTTGTCTTCCCTGCTGGAACCACTTGGACTAGCCAAGATTTCCAAAACAGTATTCTATTGTGGAAACAAGCACCAGAGACTTGGTGCACTAGATTGGTTCCCATGACAGGCTTCAGAGGGGCTTGGGGGCACCAGCTGGAGAGTTCTGTTTCCACCTCAAAGCCTTGAGTTAGGGTCTGCACCCCACCGTTCAGCAGCCACAATGTTGGGCCTTGCTGAAACCAAATATCCCCAGCTGGCATTTGATGGTCCTCTTTCTTGCTGTACTCAGACATGGCCCCTCATCAGTGGCTTTTCACAGAGGTCGAGTCCCTGTGGCAATGTATTTCCTGTAGCCATCTAGAATGATCTCAGTTCTAAGTGATAGGTGAGCAAATTGAGGAAACAGATTTTGGTCAACTTTGTGGTTCACTCATCCCAGAATATGTCAAGAGCAGGTGACCCCATCTAAACATTGTTGTCGATTCCTTATCTGCGGTCAACATGACCAAGAAATACTAAGGACAAGAGAATCACTACTTTCCCAGGGATGGCTGCTCTGAGAGCATGGTCAGCTGGCTTTTGAGGCAGGAGAAAAGTGTGTAAGCAGGGCCTAGGCCCTCTGAGAGCCCCATGCAGCCAGTGTTGCTTCTGAGTACACGGCAGGTTTAGAGCTCTCGTGGGGCTCTCTCTCCTGTCTTCACCAAAGGCCTTGTCCTTTCCAGGTTTTGACCAGCGAGGTCGGGGAAGATGTGAATGTCCAACAGCTCCTGTCTTCCCCAGGGACCTGGAGGGGGAGGGCTCAACAAATTCTCGTTTTGCAAAGCAAGGTGAGTGAATTTCTTCTGGCCCAGAACAGAGGGCTTGAAATGCACCAGAAAGGCACATATCAATTCACATTGGACATGTAGGACCTTAGAAAGGCCTTCAGGCCCAGCAGAGCATACTTGCAGGGCTGTTGTTTTATATTTTCCCCCACCAACCTGATTTTAATTTGTTATTTGATGAACAAGGATTTATATAACACTTACCATGTGCCAGGCACTGGCGCTTAACAAATGCCAAAACCTTTGATTTATTTTACTCTAGGCATATTTTTTTCCCCTAGTTCATGTAAATTTGCGTGACTGGTATACTTGCCGGCTTTTTCCAGTTTTGTCCAGATGGCTTTGTAGACTTTTGAAAGTTTTAATTACCCACTAAAGACTTAGCCTTGTCCCCCTCTTTATGTTCTAAATATTTTGGAGCACTCTCTAGAGGCTATGAGCTGAGGCTCCAGAGCCAGGCTGCTTGAATTTGGATCCCAGCTCTTGACTTGCCAGCTGTACGACCGTGGGCAAGTTCCTTCACCTCTCTGGGCCTCGGTTTTCTTCTCCTTATACCATGGATAACAACAGGAGCTACCCCACAGTGTTGATGGGAAGACTGAATGAGTCAATAGGTGTAAAATGGCCAACATGGTGCCTTGCGTGAAGGGAACACTGCACAAAGGTTAGCTGTGGTGGTTATTTTCCTCTTTCACCTTCAAACCAAGAAGCACAAGAGTAGGTGGGTGTGACTTTCCCTCTTGGGCAAGTACATGGCCTTCATCCCCAGGGACTTCCAAGTTCACCGTTCCTGGGTGGTTTTTATCCTAGGGCGTCCTATAGGACCCTTGAGGCCAACACGAAGGGGGAACAGTGTCCAAAACACTGTGATTTATGACCAATGTGTGGCCTTGGGGTTCAAGAGACCCCAGTTTGAGTCTGACCTCGGTCACTAGTCTATAGGTTCGATGACCTCGGGCAAATCACTTCATCCCTCTGCCCCTCAGTCTGCTCACTTGCAAAAAAGAGTGTTGTGAGTTAAATGAAATAACATTTGTAAAGCACCCAGCCCAGTGCCCGGCCATAATAAGCACACCACACATTAGTTGTTGTTAAGATGCACAGATAAATGATTAAAAGTTTCACACTGTACGTGCTGGTGCTTAAATGGAATTACCATAGCATGCCACACGAGGGCGCTGATATGTGCCTTCAGAGCCGTGCTGCGGGCCTATACTGGGGATCCTAGTGAATTTTGCCCCCGCACAGGTTTACCTAGCTGTGTTCCGTCATTTATGTAGTATCAACATGGAAACCCATGTTAGAAGGACGCTAAGAGTTATTCACATCAACCCCAGTGCAATAAAGCCATCATTCTGTGGGGTGACATCTACCTGCCACTTTCCGAGAGCCTATGCGTGCTAGACTGTGTGCTGAGGCCTTCACCTCAAAGTTGCCTAATCCTAGAAAGCACCCATAGCACTTGTTTAAAATGCAGATTCCCAGTCCTTCCCCTGGAGCTCTGACTTGTTGGTCTGGAGTGGGCCCCAAGATTTGTCATCTCAAGAAGCATCTTGGGAGTTCCCAGACTTAAACAAGTTCAGGATACTGAATCCTTATAACATTATGCAGGGTGGACCCTTAGGCCCATTTCATAGGTAAGGGACCCGAGAAGTTAGGTGAGCTGTGCATAGTCACACAGCTAGTGAGGCTCTGAGCTGATCTTTCAGCTTTTAAACCCCGCCCTCCCTCTGCAGCATCTCCTACAAGTGGCCAGGAACCCACAGTCTCCCCAGGAATGCACCCAGTCTTGGGTTAGAGAGTTCTTCCTTGTACTGAGGTCCTCCATCCTTTCCCTCCCAGGTTCCTGGAGTCACACGTCTGTTTCTTGGTCTCAAATATCTGATAAGGGATGACGTGATCTTTCTCATTCTCAGACTAAACCTCCCTTGTGTCCTCCTCTGTTTTGCTCCAGATGCCACCCCAGGTTCTTTCCCCACTTCAGTGCCCCTCATATGGGGCTTCTGTGTTCATCTGGAAGTACAGTGTCCTCTGTCTAGTGGGGCTTCCCATTGCACCTTAGGACAGCCTCTGAGCAGTTGAGTCTGTGAGTGCAGACCCACTGTGGAATGACGAACTTTATCACCCTCAGGTTCGTGAACTTGAGAAGCAGTTGGGACAGACCCGGAGCCAGTCTACAGGAATGTCCGGTGATGAGCCATCTGCCTATCCAGACCCAAGGAAACTCTCAGCACAGGAGAAAAACCTGCTGAGGATCCGCAGCCTAGAAAGAGAAAAACAGGAGGGCTGGGAGGTAATGCATGTCCAGGGAAGAGGTCAGTTGGGTACTTGGGATCAGGAGATCATGCAGGGCCTCGGCAGGGCCTCAAAGCCCTTGTGGTCATGAGCTCCAAGCCACCCCTTAGAGGCAGGGAACATGGGGTTTGGGGTCACATCGGTGCATGTTCCTTATGTCCTGTTAATCCAGCTTGAACTTCCTGACTGGGTCCTCAGCCCATTTCATGAGCTTATGGTGGCCCCATCCTGGCTGTTCTGGAGAGGCTGGACCTGAAATGGTCACTGTAGAAGGAGAGGAGAAAGTCACAGCCCAGAGTGATGGCCAGTAACAGCGTTAGACAGGGCTCAATGGAAGAGAGCTCTAGGCTGCTGGAAGGCGGGCTGGCTAACACTAGCACCATGCACTGCATCTCACTGGCAGTGCCGGGAGTGGCAGGAGCTGGACTCTACCAGGCTTATGTGACAAACAGAACTGATTGGCACATTGTAGATGAACAGTATAGAAGCAGCCTAGTTTTAGGCACAGATGGATCCAAGGATCTGGGGACTTGGTCTTACTTAATGCCACGTTTTCTGGACCTGACTTCACCCTCTCGAGTGGAGACTCCTGGTAGTTCCAGCTTCTGGTACTACAAACAAACAAAGGGCTTATCTTTCCTGGTAATTCCAACAAAGTCCCAGAACTAAGTGTCACCTGGCTAGCATAGGTCATGGGCCCATCCCTGAGCCAGTCACTATAGCCAGTCACTGATATAGGCTGCTGTGATTGGCCAGGCTTCAGATCCTAACCTCTAGGTCTGGGAGGTGAGTCAGCCTCTCAGAAGTTGGCGTGAGAGTGAGGAGCAGGGTTTTCTCAAACAAAGTAGAGGAAGAAGCAGGACAGGACAGAGTGCTGGCAGGCTGAACAGCCTACCTCAGTGGCCCTGGCAATGGGCCTCTTAACGGTGAGGCCTTACGTTGTCATCAAGAGACTTGCATTTGCGAGTGTCTACTCAAGACTAGACCCTGTGCTAGGAACGTTGTGACCATCGCTCCATTGCACCCCCAGCATCCTAGATCATCAGGTGTGAGGAGAGAACAGTAGGACTGGAGAGGTGGGCAAGGCCTGCTAAGGGGTTGGGCTTTAATCTTGAAGGAAGTAGAGAACCACCAAAGGGTTTGGACTGCTGTGCATGCTGCAAAGGTCACATGGTCAGGTATGGGGGGCTAGGTCAGAGGAGGCATGGAAGGCGGAGGCAGTAATCCATTTGAGACATGACCAAGAACCTGAGCCAAGGCAGTAGGACTATAGCCGAAGGCTGGACACCTGCAACATTTGAGGGTTGACTTTACAGGGCTCAGTGACAAGATGGAAGATGGAAAGGGGAGATACAGAGGGATTCTGAAGGACTTCCAGTGAATGTAGTGGGTGCATAGGGGACACAGGGAGGGGAATTCAAGGGAGATGGGGAGCTGAGATTTGAAAATGTTGGGTGTGTGGTGCACCCAGCTCAGGCTTACATGTTCACACAGAATAGAATATGTTACAGTCATTGAACCTATTGTAAGCCACAATGTGAGTAGAAAGAAGATATTCCCTGTGTGCACTTCCTCTGCCAGGAGCCTTCTAGAGCCTAGAGTGCGTAGACAGCAGAGCAACAGGTAAATAATGGCTGCCTACCTGCAGAGATTGGTGGTCTTCTAAATTCATCACCAACAATTTTTCATTTCTGTAATTCACTTCCACGGGGATCTGAAAATACTTTTCCAATGATAATTAACCCTCAAGACCAAAGCAGATTATGTAACCTATTGCCCAAAACCCTCCTCAGTGTCTCAATCTTGGTTCCTGATGGTTTACCTAATCTGGACTCTGCCCCCTCTGACCTTGCCCCTGACCTGCCCCCTCTCCCACTGGGCTCTAGCCACACATGCTCTACCCCAGGGCCTTTCCTCATACCCTCACTTCCTTTAGTTCTCTTCTCAGATGTCACCTTTTAGAGAGGACTTTCCTGACCATGCCATTGTCCCTCCTACCCATTCCCTTCCCCACTTTCCAGTAAGCACTTGTCACTATTTAACATCTGTCTCCCCAGCTAGGATGTTAGCTCCTTGGGGACAGAGACTCTATTTTGTTCTCTGCTGTATCCCCAGCATCTACAACAATTTTAAGCACATAGTAGGCCCTCAGGAAATATTTGAGAAGGAAGGGAGGGAGGGAGAGAGGGAGGGAGGGAGGGAGGAATAAAGAGAGACTCCAAAGGCATGCACAGCACTTGAGTTGCTAGTTTGTAGCTGACCCAAGTGAGGCACAGTCTAGGCTGATGTGCTGGACATACATGGAGGAAGTGAGGTGATGCAACGGGCACCTCCCTCTCATTCTGGCTCTTGGTAGGGTGAGCCACTTCAGTTTGAACCTAGACTCAGTTCTGCTCATGAAAGCATGGCTTTTCTCTTTCCCCAGCTCAGGCCAGGATTGAAAGGTGGGGACAGCCATCCTTTCTGGAGGACACACCCACAGTTGGCAAGTGTGGTTCCTCTCATGTCTGACCCTGGCAGAGCAAGGGCAGCTGCCTGGATGCCTGTGTCCTCAGGCTGATGGAGGAGTGCTGTTATCTATCAGTGACATCAGTTGCATGCAAGGGAGTCTGTGGGCCCACCTAACAACCCTCAGAGGTGAGGGCTAGGCTCTGGGACCCCAGCTCTGCTGCCTTGCTCTCGGGCCTTCAGCAAGTCCTCTCTTGTCACTGGGCCTCACCTCTGAGTAGGAGCCAGAGACCAGATGTAGCCAAAGTCCCATTCAGTCCCATTGCCCACAACTATACTTCTGGATTACAGAAACTTGTTGGTGAGCGAGATGGCCTCCAGAGAGAGCTTGAAGAACTGAAAAAGAAGTTTGAGGGTTTGAAGTCCCGGAATAAGGTGCTGTCGAGTGAAGTGAAGACCCTCAGGAGTCAGATGGGGACGCTGGCAGAGAAGGGCAGGCATGATGATGAGCTCATCGATGCCCTCATGGTATGGCCGGGTCCCTCAAACCTGAGCCCCACCCTGCCCAGAAGCCCATGACCCAGCCCCAGCCGCAGTGAGCTCTCACTTACCCCAGATGCCACCTGCATAATCCAGAAGCAGCCCCAGGGGTGCCAGCCCCAAAGCCGTGCCCCAGGGATGAGAACAACCAGAGGCTGCCCGAGCACACGTACCAGTCATGTTGTGTGATATTGTGCTGGCTATGATGTGTTACAGCCTGGCACCAGTCACTGGACTTGTGGACCCCAAAAGAGGAAGAAATGGATGCAGGGGAAGGAGATGGGATTGGACCCTGGGTCATTTTTTCATCAATGAATGGAAGGGACAGCTGAGGGCCCAGTTTGAATTTTTGTCCATGTGACAGCATAGAGCCCCTACCTGGCACTTGGGGTGCATGTGGTTCATGATTACTCACCGAGACAACCCCTAGGGTCATATATTATAATCCCAGTTCACACATGGGGAAACTAAGATTCCAATTAGTTAGCTAAGTCATCCAAAACCATATAACTGAGTTCAAACCATGTTGGTCTGACTATAAGGCCTGCCTTGATTAGCAAGGCCACACTGCTTTCCCGACCCTAGATTGGCCTTGTTTCTCTGGGACTTGGGATGCCCCAGGGTCTCTGAATCCCAAATTGTGCCCCAGATCCTGGGTGGCCATGCCTAGCTTGTCTGGGGGGCATGGGGTGGTAGGCAGAGCACAGAAGACCTGAACTCTAGACCTGCCTCTGCTGACACTTCACTTGGTGACCCTAGACCTATTTTACCCCTTCTCAGCCTCAGCTCCCAGTTTTGTTTTGTTTTTTTAAAGATTTTATTTATTTATTCATGAGAGACACAGAGAGAGGCAGAGACACAGGCAGAGGGAGAAGCAGGCTCTATGTAGGAAACCTGATGTGGGACCCGATCCTGGGACTCCAAGGATCATGCCCTGGGCTGAAGGCAGGCGCTAAACTGCTGAGCCACCCAGGCGTCCCTGATCCCAGTTTTTAAACAAGGTGTGGACCTGGATGTCCTTGGAGGTCCCTGTGTGCCACCATCCTTTGTTACTGCAGATGTCATGATGAAAGCTGCAGACCAGCCCCAGCCTTGCCATTCACCAGCAGTGTGCCCTTGCGCTCTCTGGGCCTCAGTCCCTCCAAATCACTGGCATGTCCTTTCTGTTGGCCCACTAGTGAAGCCTCTAACCTGGTAGTCTTCTGGGGGCATTTACAGGGGATGGTGCCTCAGTTGGATGCTGAGAGATCCCTGGTGAGTGGTCCAGGTACTGCCACCATCTCCCAGCAGAGGGATAGGGTTTCTTTTTCCCCAAATATCTCCCCCGCTGGCTGAGGGGACACCATGTGAGTTGCTTTCTGCAGTCTCAGGAGTCCCTTCTATGTCCTTCTTGGCCCAATCTCAGAGAAGGAAGTTGAGAACAGGAAAAGGGCCTGGTCCCCACGTGCCTGGTTGAGTGTGCCCCACCCCCACCCCGAGGCAAAGAAAGTTCTCCTTCTGCTTCTCAAGGGAACAGGTGGTATCCCACTTCTAGGCTCCCGCAGGAGCAGGGAGCAGGTAAGGGAAGGCAGTCTTCCCTGTCCTGCCTTGCCCAGGGGTCATGGCTAACCTTGTCTGTCATCTGCCCTCCTGGCTGGCCCCACAGGACCAGCTAAAGCAGCTACAAGAGATTCTGGGCAGCCTGAGTCTGCAGGAGGAGAAGAGCCGGGCGTCGCAGCACCGTCTGGACCAGCGTGTCAACAGTGAGGCCCAGCGGAGCAGCAGCCTCATCACCCAGCTGCGGGCCATGGTGGCTGAGCGGGAGGCCAAGGTGCAGCAGCTGGAGCAGGAGATTGGCCAGCTCAGTATGCAAGTGAGTCAGGCGTTGGCCTGGTCTGGCCCAGCATCCATGTCCAAGCCCTGACAATTCCATCTGCCATCCGGAGAAACCACCTGGCTCCACTTTGGTCCCCTGCTTGCATCGGGCTTCCCATCCTTTTTCACATACTTTTCCTCTTTTTCTGATTGTCCCCCTTCTCTGCATAAAACCTGTTTGGGGCTCCCACTCACCTTGGCCTTACTCAGTCCTCAAGGGTCCAGGCTCCATCCAGCTTCTCCTCACCCTCCCAAGCTCTGGGCCTCATCTTTACGATCCACAATGGTAGCTACAGTGCCAGGCTTTGTACTCACATTCCAGGCAGTGGGATGGCGGGAAGGAAGCTGCACTTCATCCAGCTTGCAGGGCCCCACATGACTACAACCAGCTTTTCTGGCCACCCCTCCTACCTCTCCTCTCCAACCCTCCCCTTCCCACCCCTCGCTCCCTGCACTCTGGCCACACGGCCATCATTTAGCTCCTCATATAGCCCTGCTCTCTCCCCATTCCAGGCTTGTGCACATGCCTTAGGCAGGGCCTTCCCTTTCCTCCCCCACTGCCAATGCCTGGCTGGTGGCGCCCAGCCTTTAGGCCTTACCAAGTCATGCGCTCCTCCAGGTAGCCCAGGGCTCCCCATTCTGTGTTACATGCCTCTCCCAGTCACTCTCCTAACTCTCTGTGCATCCTCAAGCCAAACTTTTGTCACCCTGTGTGATCATTTTCCTGTTTCCTCCCCCGAACTCCTCCTGAGAGGGCATATACCGTGTTGCCTAGTTGTCTGGTGCAGGATTGAGCAGCCAGTAAATGCTCATAAATGCTTGTCTAAGGAGAGAGCTCCTGAAGTGTTGAACCTTGACAGGTGCCTTCCCAGCACAGCCTCGGCTTCTAGGAGTCAGGCACTGTGGGCTCTCTGTGGCTCCTTCCCATGGTGGTGGTGGTGGTGCTCAGAGGGCAGGGGAGTGGGTGGCCTCTGGGGTAAAGATTCCTTGACAGATACACAGGTCTCCCAGTGACAGAAGACTCATAGCCAGGCTGACTGGTATAGCCTAAGGCATGTCACAGAGCACCCCACCCTTTCTTCCCAGAGATCCATGGTCTGGTCAAAAACACAGGAACCCAAGAGCCCCTCAGCCCCAGCCTCAGGCTGGTGTCAACTGGGGTTGGTGGTCTGTCTTAGAGCCATCCATTCCCAGAGGCCCAGGCAGCCCAGGGCCTCAGTGGCTGTGATGGAGAATACTGAAGTCCCCGAGGCTGATGGGGAGCCCAGGGCTATGACAAAGGTCTGGGGACAGAGTGTGTATGGCAGTGAGTGGGGACATGGCCTCATACTCCTTGCCCTGTTTCCCACTGGGAAGTGAAATCTGAAGGAGCACACAGGAACATTCCAGTATTTTCACCTTACCACTGTCCCGGCTCCAGGCACACAAAAGGGAATCGATCCTTACCTTGGAGATCATCAGCTGATTGAGCCAGGGCATTACCCACCAGGCAGTTGGTGTGTGCATCTCAGGATGAGTGGGGCTGGGGGACATGCCAGGTTGTCCAGGGCTCACCAGCTGTCCACCCCTGACGGCCTGCCCTCCTGCTGGGGGTCCTCCAGTGCTCCTTCTTCAGTCTGGCCTCACCAGCCATCCAGAAGAAGGAGGTGGGAGGAGGGGAGGGGGCCTGGTAAGCCCAGCCTCCCACCAAGACTGCTGGCCCTTGCTGAGGCCCTGCCAACCTCTGTGGTTCCGGGTGTCTGGAAAGTCTAAGTGTCTCCAGCTGACAAAGGCAGCTGGCCTCAGGTCACACCTGGCACTCACCCTGCATGGGTGGGGCTGCCCAGAGAGGTGGGTCCACTCAAAGACATCAGTCTGATCTGCCCTGAATCAAAGGCCATGTACTTCCCTTTGGGACCTGAATGTAGAACAGCTTCCTGGCCCAGCCACCACCTCGCCCCGCCCCACACCCCACGTAGCTCCCTTTCTGAAGAGAGCCATTATTAGATGTCATTATCATGCAAGGAGTGCCTTCACCAAACAGGCCTTGCTTTTCACTCCTGAAAAGAAGCCTCTTTCACATCCCCTAAAAGCCCCAGACTCAAGCCAAGGCCCCCTCCTGCCTTCTGCAGGCCTCTGAGCCAAAGCGCTGAGAATCGAACCCATGTCTGTTTCCTGCAGTATCGTCAGAATAAAGGAATGGACAAGGGGTCCAGTGGGACTGAGAACCACTCAGCCTACACCAAGTTCCTGGAGGACCCCATCCAGACCAAGTCCCTGGCCTCAGCAGGTGATCACGTTGGCAGGCTGGGATCCTCTCGGTAAGAAAAAAATGGGATAGAGGGGTGAGAACATGAATATTAATTATTCCAAAGAAAGGCTGCCTCTGCTGCCACAGATGCAATTTTAAGATGACTATGGCATTGTCCTTCCAGTATGTGTGCCTCTCATATTCCACTAGCCCTGCATTTGCACCAAGGAGCCCGTTAGGTCCAGATATTATTACTGTAGGACGTCTGGTTACATCTCCCTGTACATCCTCTCTCAGCTGGCCTTGAAATGCACCTGCTTCTAGAATTCTCAAACAGACCTGTGTTGGATTGCTCAGTGCTCTAATGTCTTCCGGTTCTGTCTCATTTTGAGCAAGCAAGAGTTCTGGAAAGAAGGGCAGGAAATCAGCATGACTGCCCAGCCAGGGGTGCTGCGAGGGCCAGCACTGGCTGCCTTCTCAGGTTCCTGGAATCCCTGCTGGCCTTGCTCTCCTCCCAGGTAGGCCGCAGCCTGCCTTCCCATGATGATGAGCCCCTTCTGCCCTCACACAGCTCCGTGACCAGCCTGGGCCACACGCTGGTGGAATCTGCTCTCACGTGGCCTTCTCTGCCCAGTCCTCATGGGGCCTCACCCAGGTATGAACTTGGGACCTCAGGGCCCTCACAGTCCTTCCCATCCCTGATCGCTCAGCTAGTATTGCCATCACATTGAAAGGGGGGGAACCAAGACCAGGCCAAGTCCAGGGACTCTTCCAACTTTACATAAGGACATGGAGGGTCAGAGAGGCCCAGTGCTGATCCAAAGTGATAGAACAAGTGGCTTCAGAACTAGAGTTTTGGCCTCTGGCTTGCAGTCTCCTGCCCTTCCTGCTACCACAGAGTTAACACAAGGAATCTTCCAGGGCCTGGAGCCCAGCTCCTTCCCTTGCCTTCTCTTCCCCACTGAGAATCAGTCTCTAGGGGCAGAATTTCATGTCATATGGGTTCCCACTTTAAGTCACTGATACCCCCTCAGCTCTCTGGCCCCCTCTTTGTTGTTAGAATCAAGCCCAGGGCTTAAAAGGGCCCTTTGTTCTCCCTGCCAGCTCCCAGACAAATGATGGCTTTGTCCTGCCTCTGAGCTCTGTCCTGAGCCCTGCCCACTGTCCACTGGAGCCATGCTCCTGCTGTCAACCCCCGTCCTCACCCCTCAGGCTGGTCAGCTCAGGTTCTGGGCCAGGCCTCTGAGTGGCCCTAGTCCGTGTTTGACTTGCTGTATGGCTCTAGGCATCAATCCTCTCTGGGATGCTGTTTCCCAAGAAGTGCCTGAGACAGTTCTGGCCTGACATTTGGCAGCACTGGGACTGTGAGCCAAGGCCAGCCTTGCAGCTGCCCCATCCATGAGCCGGGGGGTCCCAAGGGCACTCAGGGAGAGTGGGCTGCTCTAAGCCACAGGGGCTCATGGCACACTTCCAAAAGTGGGAGGTCTGGTGCTACAGGGAGAGCGGATGGGCTCTGTCTCTCTGGGGTTTTAGTCACTGTAGTGGGAGCAGAAAGAGGGACAAGGTGGTCCTCAAGATCCCTTCCAGGCTTGTGTGGCCATGGCCTCTGCCCTCCACAGGGAAGCAGAAACAGTTGTGCTCCTCAGCTGTGCAGACTGCTGGTTCTCAAGCTTACTTCTTGCACGCTACACAAATACTTACTGAACCCAACCACGTGTGGGCTCTACCCTCATGGAGCGCACAGTCCTCCCTCTTTCATCAGTGACAGGACAGGAAGGAGCTACTCCAGAGATGGTGTCTATTGGGGCTGGAGTGGTAACTGTGATGGGGTATCTGGGAGGAAATCCCCTTTCTCCGCAACTCCCTTACTCCCCTGCTCCCCATGAGAAAATTGTGGAGGTGAGTTGATCAGAGCTTTCTGAATCACAGTGCACACAGAGCAGCTACTTATCTGCAGGTTAGATGCAGGTTCAGATTCGGCAGGTCTGGATCTGTAGTCACTGACTCAGAGACTGTGCTTTGAGCAGCGATGCCTTAAAGTATACTTAGGAGGCAGAACACAGAGGAGTCTGAGGTCCTCAGGCCCTTCTCAGCAACCCCCTCAGTGTTCAGAGGGAGGACCCAGGCCCAGAGAGGGAAAGAGACCTGCCCAAGGCCCCAGAACAAGTTAGCCTCTGGTCTCACATGCCCCAGCCCAGGTCTCCATGTGTCCTGTGGGAACAATCCCAGGATCACCAGGGTTTCAGCTGCAGAGAGCACCTTGAGATTCACAGGTGGGTTCTGGGGAGCTCGGGGGGCAGAGCTCACCTTCTGTCTGGGCTCCAGCAAACAGATAAGGGGCTGGTAGGCAGGCCCAGTGGCAAGGAGGGAAGTGGTGACAGGTTAGATTGACACTGAAGAAAACTGACCAAGATACAAAGCCAAGAGTCCAGGAAAGTACAATGGGCTTAGGGCCAAACCAGGAGATGCAGGAGGGCCAGGGCAGACTGGCAAGGAGACAGACTGAGCCTACCTGGCAAAGGGTTCCTGGGGCACCCCAGGCCCTTAGGGGCCAAATTCCATAAAAGCCAGCCTAACTCCAGGCCCCTACAGGGACTGGATGGACAGAGGTACTGATGCAGCTAAGTGAGGTCTAGAGACCTCAGCAGGCACAGGAATGGTGGGCTGAGAAGAAGCCAGAGGAGGAGGACCAGCAGGGCCAGGAAGGACTGGGTTGGCTGCCTTCTCTGTGGCTGTCTCTGAAAATCCCTGAATGTTCTTCCAGTACCCCCCACCATCACAGGTAAGTGTGTCTTCAGATAACCCAAGTGACTTCTGCCCTCTGCCCCCACTCTGGTCCCCAGGTTCTCAGACTCCCCAGAACAAAAAAGCTGGCAGGCACAGGTAACCGAGTTCAAGGCCCTCTGGCAGGCCGCTGAAGTGGAGCGTGACCGGCTCACGGAGTTTGTCACTGTGCTGCAGAAACGGTAACACATGGCACCCAGGGAGACATGCTCTCATGAGTCTTTGTGGGCTGGGGGTGTGGACAGCCTGGTACAAAGGCATCGTTCTTGGACAGGGACCAGGTCTCCTCTATGACTGGGTCCACCTTCCTGGAGAGTGTGGCTTCCACAGTGTTGGTCTAGAGTATTCCCAGTCACCACTTGTGTGCTCACCAAGGTGTTCCACAGCCTTGGGGCCCTATTGCCACACTTGTGGTTTGCTGTGTTCTACCATATTCAATAGGACTGCTATATGCAGGTGGACATGAGGTGGGAGTCTCAGGGAAGAGGCTCTCTGGAGTAGTTAAAGCAGTCAGATCAATCCATAAATAATTAAGATCTCTGATGAATATGGCACCTTACTCAGGGCATTGGGGGATTTGGTGGGAAGACAAAGGCTAGACTCATGTCTGAATTACAAAGAGCAAGAGAGCTGCTCATAGATGACAGCTGAGACTTCTCTGGGGAGGGGGAGGAAGCATGTGGCCCAAGGCCATGGATCAGGAGGCATAGTTTTCTCCAAGGGGTTGTTGACAGACTTCCATTCAGATAAATCAGTGTTCCTCCCTCAAGTGACCCTTTTGGCAACAATTGCAGGTACTCAGGCCAACACATGGCCCAACCATGTGACCTCCACACTGAAAAATATAAAGGACACCACTGGGTTCCTGCTCTAATAGGGCAAGCAGCCAAGACTCTTTGGTGACAGGCAGTAGAAACCAATTCTGGCTAAGTTAAGGGAAAGGCAGATTTGGGAAGGTGCTGGTGAACCTTAAGGGGTGGGGCAGGAGAGGAGCCCAAGAAGGTCTGGGCATCTTGGGGGCTGGATGCAGTAGCAGGAACCCTTGGGCAGTCTCTCCTGGGGCATTGGAACAACACAGGCCCAGTGGCTTCCAGTTCTTATGCCAGCAGATTCTGGGAAAGAAGATCTAGCTGGCCTGGGTTGCTCACGTGTCCATCCCTGGACTTAGGCCAGGCACCTTGATTGGAAGTATCTCAGGTGCTCATAGAATGAAGGCGGGGCAGTTTGCCAAAGGGAAAAACAGAGTTTCATTACCAAAGAAGGAGTGAGGGCTGTTGGGAAGTGGTCAAAGGATGGCTACTACCTAAGCAATGAGAAGTGACCAGGTTTAATTGTGTTTTTTTTTTTCCATGTAATACATGAAGAGGATATGAGTTTCAGACCTATTCAAGAATAGGAGAAAAGTAACATGAATTCTTTTTCTGTAACTGAAATGTAATGGATGGTACAAGCCTTTAGTCTATCAAATAGAAGAAACACACTCAGTTTAAAACGGCTTTCTCTCCCATTTTCCTTGAGTTGCTCCTGAGTTTTGGGGGGGGGGGGTTGTGAACCAAGGTGACTCAGTTATGTATTGCTATGTTACAAACCATTCCAAACTTCTTGGCTTCCAACATGATGGTTTTTTTTTTTCCTCATCATTCTGCGGGTTACCTAGGGGATTCTATTCCATACAACGCCTGCATCACTCACATGGCCCGTTCAGCTAGGAGCTCGGCAGAGGGTTCTCCTTCACTGGCCTCTTTCTGTGCACTGTTTCTCTTCCAGGGCCTCCCCATGCAGAGCTGGGACTAGCATGAGGCAAGCAAGGTACTTTATTCAGGGCACAAAATTTAAGGAGGCACTCACTATGAGTCATGTGTGTGTGATTTTTCTCTTAGCTGAGATCCTTGACCTTTTGGGGTTCACTCTGCTGCTCTGTGTCATTTTAAGGTATAGGGGAGCTAGCTTTCTGAGGCTGTCCCAGGCTCATCAGACAAGACACATGGCCTTTTCTAGTCTGGAGCATTGCTGTCTCCTGGTGATCTAACAAGGAAAGGTGGAGGGCCAAGCCCCCTCTGCATTCAGATCCCCCAAACCTATTCAGATTTCTCACCCCAAAGCATAGCACCTGCCCTTCTCAGAGATTCTCCAGTATCTATTCCCTTCTTTTTGGGGGGGGGGGGGTCGGGGTATGGGGGAGTGTTCTAGTCTTGCCTCAAGAGGGCAGAGCTTCCCCCTCTCATACTCTGCCCTACAACTTCCAGCTGCCTCCGGCTCCCTGCAGTTCCCCAGGCTTGTGTCCTTATCCCAGCAAGACCAATGTGCTCTGCTTGGGGTCCCCTCACCCCCCCACCTGGTACAGTCAGACTAAAAAACGATGATAGAACTTGTCTTTGTGTCCCCTCTCTCAAGTCCTGTATCCAGTGTTCTGTGTCTCTTATCCTGTTGTCCAATGTCTGAGAACAGCGTATTTCTTATATTTTATCCACTTTTCTAGTTGTTTACAATAGGAGGGGTTAGTCTGCTTAGTCTCCCATGACAAATGTCACAAACTATGTCTCTTTGTGAAAAACATACAATTGGCTTTCTTTTTATTTTTTTAAATATTTTACCTATTTATTTGAGAGAGAGAGAGAACTCATGCATGAGAGAAGGGGGAGGAACAAAAGGGGAGGGAGAGAGAAAATCTCAAGCAGATTCCCCACTGAGCAAGGAACCTGATCTGGGGCAGGATGTGGGTCTTGATTCCACAACCTCGAGATCATGACCTGCATTGAAGCCAGGAGTCTGACACGTAACAGACCAAGCCACTCAGGCCCCCTTGGCTTTGTTCTTAAATTCAATCTGAGAATTGGTGTTTGAGGAGGAGAATTTAACCCATCTTCATTTTTGTATTATTTGGAAATATTTTGATCATCTCAATATTTTGTATTTGCCATGATTTTTCTGCTCCTTTTTCTCTGTTCTCCTTTCTATTGGATAAGTCAGATTTTGTTTCCCTCTCTCCCATACAAGTTTGGAAGTTACACATTCTATCTCTCTTCTTTTAGTGGTTATCTATAACTTTTACCACAGAATTCAACAAGTCTAAAATCAGTAGATTTCTTTATAATCCCTTTGAACAATAGGATAACTTTAAAGGTTTTTCTGTTTTGTTTTAGTAATCTCAACCCCCAACGTGGGGCTTGAACTCACGACCCCAAGATCAAGAATCACATGCTCTTCCAACTGAGCCAGCCAGACAGCCTGATAAGTTTTGAACGTTTAATTCTGATTCCCCTACTGTGTCTTTCATGTTACTGGTTTCTAATGTTTTTCTAATATTGCAGTCTTCTTTCTAAACCCTCTGAAATTAACCCTCCAAATTCATCTTTTAAAAAATTAGTCAGTGTTCATTTACTTTGGCCAACATCCTTAAAAATGTCTTCCCTCACTATTGCTTCTTGCATCTCAGCCTCTCTTCTGGGTTCAGCTTCGTTCCTACTGAAGTGCATCCTTTAGTTTAATGAGGCCACGTGGATGGTAAACTCCTTGCATCTTTGCTTACTTTGGAGTCTTTATCCTGCTTTGCTCTTGGAGGAGAATTTCATTTGGTATAGAATTCTAGAGGGTTGGGTACTTTTCTCAGCACTGGGAGGCTGTGACAGCTCATTGTCTTTAACCATCCACTGTTGCCAAAAAAGACATCTGCTCTGTTTGGCTGTTGTTCCTTCGTAGTGATGTCCTTTCTCTCTAGACGTTTTTTCAGATATTCCTTTTGTCTTTGGTATTTTGAAGTCTCACTGTGATGGGTCAAGGTACTTTATTTCATTTTCTTTCTCCTACTTAGGGTTTGGTGTGCTTTTTTCATTCCAAGGACTTCAATCTATGCATTGCCAAGGACATCTCTCCCTATGTTGCCTCTCCCTGTGGTTTCTATTCTTTTCATCTGAAATGCCTGGTCAGCCCATGTTAGACCTGCTTCTTCTTTCCTCCACAACTCTTAAACCTTCACAATATTTTAGGCTGATAACTGCATGGTTTCTTCAAGTCTGTCTTCCAGCTCACTAAATCTCTTCAGTTGTGCTTTATGTGCCATGAAACTTACTTTAATAACTTTCTTTTTTTTTATCCCTGGCAGTTCTTTTTTGTGTAAAACCTTCCATTCTCTTTCTTACAGCATTCATTCTTTCATGAAGACTTCTTGCTTTTCCCTTTGTAATAGTTTTAAACTTACTCCATCCCCTTAGAGTTGTTCTATCATCCTCATTACTTAGAATCCTAAGTAATGTCTGTTGACTCGCCCTCACAGTGAATAATTCCTCAATGTGTTTGTACTTTTGTGTTATTTCTGTGAGCTTGTCTTCACTGTTGTTTTTTTTTTTTTTTCTTGTGGGAGTTCTCAGGTTGTGAAAGTGTTCCTAAAGAATGGTTCTGCTTTTGTCTCTGTGGAGCTTTGGGGGTTTCAGTGGTCTCTGATTGGTACTTTATGCTAATTTATTGGTTTAGGATTTCCTGAACTCATGAGTGCTGGCCTTGTGTTTCAATTTTCTCATGATTGGTGCTTCCCCCTTTCACACACTTAAGGCCCTGGTAGACTACAGCGTTCCTTACCGCTTCCCTGGATTATGGATGTCTGTCTTTTATTGCAAACAGGTATTCTTGATGTTTCTAGAATCATGCAGAGAGCTTCCTTGTAGGTTGCTGCCTAATGGGAGCCCAGGTTTACAGCCTCTACCTTCACATTGGCATCAAAATCTCCACTTTATGTGGTTGGAAGTTTTATTAGTTTTTCTATTACAAGTGTATACTTACTTATTGTAAAAAAGTCTCCTTTTCTGGGGACACCTGGGTGGCTCAGTGGTTGGGCATCTGCCTTCGGCTCAGGGTGTGATCCCAGAGTCCCGGGATGGAGTCCTGCATCAGGATCCCTGCAGGAAGCCTGCTTCTCCCTCTGCATATGTCTCTGCCTCTCTCTCTGTGTCTCTCATGAATAAATAAATAAAATCTTTTTAAAAAGCCTCCTTTCTAACCTACAGTTACCCATTTCTCATAGAAAAGAACTGTCAGAACTTCTAAAATGTTTTCTTTGCACATCCAAAGATGTACATGAAAAATATATATATACACATGTGTATATATATGTGCACATAAATGCACATATATTTCTATTACAAGATTGACTCATACTAAACACATCTTTACATTTTTGCAAGAGTATGTAACTGTAAGTTTCTAAATGTGGAATCACTGGATCAAAGAATATGTACATTTAAATGTTCACAAATGATGGTAAATTGCCCTTTTAACATGAATCCATTTGCATTCCCATCAATAATGTGAACTATCTACCATTTCCCCATACCCTCACCTCTACAAGGTTTTATCAGCGCATAATGTTTTTGCCAAACTAATAAAGAAACACTATAATCTCAGTTGTTTTTATCCACTTTGCTAAAACCAAAAGTGGGGATGAGCATAGTTTTCACATTTATACCCTTTTCTGTTAAATATCTGTTCATACTATTGCACATTTTTTAGGGAGTCATATTTTTTCTTTACAGAGCTCTTTATGAATTATGTATTCATAATTATATATTATGACTACATATGTATTGTAATTATGTATTATGTATGTAGTATAATATTATGTATATGTATTATGTATTTATGTCTTTCATAAAGGTCTTGTATCATTTATATTAAATTAATACCTAGGTAGGGAGACCTCCTTATCTGAGTATTTTTTTTAATGATTTATTTATTTATTTATTTATTTATTTATTTATTTATTTATTTATTTAAGAAAGAGAGAGAGGGATCCCTGGGTGGCGCAGCGGTTTGGCGCCTGCCTTTGGCCCAGGGCGCGATCCTGGAGACCCGGGATCGAGTCCCACATCGGGCTCCCGGTGCATGGAGCCTGCTTCTCCATCTGCCTGTGTCTCTGCCTCTCTCTCTTTCTCTCTCTGTGACTATCATAAATAAATAAAAAATTTAAAAAAATAAAGAAAGAGAGAGAGAGCATATGCATGCATACGAGCACCAAGGACGGGGGAGAAGCAGAGAGAGAGGGAGAAGCAGACTCCCCACTGAGTAGAAAGCCCAAAGCCATGAGAAACAGGACTCAATCACTAGACCCTGAGACCATGACTCAAGAAGAAGGCGGATACTCAACCAAGCCACCCAGGCACCCCTTATCTGAGTATTCTTAATCAGTATTCCTACACTTAGTCTTCATGAAAGCAAAATTTTTACATGAAAACATTCACTAATGACTTGCCTTACATAATAATGTTCACTTTACACTGCCATTGGGTCAATTTGATCGGACTCTTGAAATATCATAAAACTCAATTACAAAGTAAAAAGACAAATTAAAAACAAATCTGGTCTGTCATGAAATTGATGCATATGGTGTGAGAGAGCTGTTAAAATCACCCCCAAAGCCATCACAAACAAGCATCTAGTCAAGTTAGCCCAGCTAATGATTAAAGAAGAAAAAAATCTGTGAAAATGAAGACTGGTCAAAAAAGGATAATCAGAATACCAAAGGGAAGGTCTTGAGTAGAAAGTGGAATCTGTGAAATCTGTGGAGGCCCACAGAGGAGCAGCCCGCGACCAGGCCACAGGTAAAAGAGTGAGAAGGAGCTGGCTTTGGTGTGTGTTTAGAGGAAAAGCTGTAGGGCTTGCTGATAAATTGGAAGCTGAAAGCAGCAAGGAAGAGAGAGAAGGCAAGAATGACACCCAGGTGTTTAGGTTAGGCAACTGCATGAGTGGTGGTAACATTGATCAAAATGAGGAAGGCACATTTTGGGAGGTGAAACCAAAAGTTTGGTTTTTTTTCTGAATTTTGTTGGAATTCATAAAGTGCTTTAGCATTGACAAGGCATTTAGTTTATTTCCCCTCGAACAAACAATACAAACCTAAACAAAATGCAAACATTACTGAAATACACGACAGTAAAATGAAAGCCCCTCACCCCCAGATGACTAGTCAGTAACTGCTGCACATCCCTATTGTCAGCTCATTGGCTGAGTTTCATTAGCACTGGTATCTATTTGTTTTTAAATTTTTAATCTGTTATAAATTTTTTAATTAGGTCATATATTATGCATAATCTTCTGCTACTTATTTCACTCAATAATATATCTCAGACATCCTCTTCAAGTCAGCACATACCCTTTTTATGGTTAAGGAGTATTTTTATTGTGTTAATCCACTGTGATTTATTTGTCCTTTATTTACATAAATGGCATCATATTATATGCATTCTTGCAGCATTTGGTTTTCTTCACCAGTCTCATGATTTGGTGGTCTGTATTTGTTCATGTAGCTCTACCTTATTCTTTCCCATTGCCAGAGCAGTGCTGTCCAGTAGAACTTTCTGTGACGATGGAGGTAGCTATAGCTCTGCTGTCCAGTGCAGTGGCTATTAACCACATGGGCTTTGATCACTCTAACTGTAGCTAGTGTGACCAAAGAACTGAGTTTTTTATTTTACTTCAATTTAAATAACTACATATGAAAAATAAAATAAAATAAATAAATAACTACATATGGACATTAGTCTGACAGCACAACCCTGTCATATTCCAACACATTCCATGGTATAAATATTTGACTTTTTCTATATTTCCTCTATTGATGGACATGTAGATTATTATTGTTTTTATGCTTTTGCAAATAAAGTTTAAAGGAACATGCTTGGACAAGTCATGTTAGTAGCTGTATAGCTGTGGTAGTATACAGTATGTGTTAGTAGTTGTATACTGTTCAAAATTGGCATGATTCTGCTCCTTCTTGACTCTTCACCAAAGTGGAAGACCACTTCCTCCAACACTGTAAAATTCCAGCCCTCTATTCCAATTTGCATCTGTGTATGCAACTCTTTGCTTAGGTTAAATTTCAGGAAGTCCTTGCCCTCTAGCTGAGTCTTTTGTATCACACAAGTCTGGAGTGCCATACCTAGCTGAAAGACCTTTGCCCCAGTCCCAGTGAGATTAAACAATTCCTTCATGTGAAATGACTAAATAGCAATGTCTTCAAGTCCCATGAATTCATAATGGGCATATAGAAAATAATAATAAGTAATAACAATAAATAATAATAAACTGAAAGCAATCACTAACTCCAAGAAAAGCAAAAACTTAAATAAGAAAATGTGATCAGGGATCCCTGGGTGGCTCAGAGGTTTAAGCCTGCCTTCGGCCCAGGGCATGGTCCTGGAGTCCCAGGATCGAGTCCCACATTGGGCTCCCTGCATGGAGCCTGCTTCTCCCTCTGCCTCTCCCTCTGTCTCTTTTTTTCTCTCTCTGGGTCTCTCATGAATAAATAAATAAAAGCTTAAAAAAAAAAAAGAAAGAAAGAAAATGTGATCATTACCATGCTCCATATTTGAATAATTGTTCCAATGTAATTCCCTGTGGTAGACAGGATTCTTTCCACCCATACCCTTCACTCCCTGCTGTTGTGCCTGTGAATACTTTATGATATATAGCAAAAGGGACTTTGCAGATGTAATTATAGTTATGGGCCCTAAAATAGGAAGATTATCCTGGATTACCAGGTGGGCCCAATCTAATCACTTGAGCCCTTAAAAGCAGAGAAATTTCTCCAGCTGGGGTCAGTCAGAGAGATGCTGCAAAAGAGGTCAGAGATTCAAAGCATGCTAATGGTGTCTGGTTGGCTTTGAAGATGGAGAGGACCAAGTGGCCTCTAAAAGATGAAAATCACCCAGCGAACAGTCAGTGAGAAAAAGGGACCTCAGTCCTTCAACTGGAACTGAATTATTTCAATAATCTGAGTGAGCCTGGAAGTGGATTCTCCCCCAGAACTTCTGGGTAAGAGCCCGGGTCAGCCAACACCTTGATTTTGGCTTGTGGAACCTGGAGCGGACAAACCAACAGAGCCTGCTGGCCTTCTGACTTAGAGAACCACAAGATAATAAATGTGTGTTGTTTTAAAGCTGCTAAGTTTGTGGTAATTTGTTACAGCAGCAATAGAAAACTAATACACCCCCCTACTATTAATTCAGCTGAAAAATTGATATGTAACACATTGGGAGGTGGACGGTGATTCTGCTTGGTAAGGGGAGAGGGCTAAAATAAAACTAAATTCTCGTGTTGCATGACAGGAAGTTGAAAAATTATATTTAAACCTTAAAAAATAGCAGTATGGGCATCTGTAGAAATACGGCAGTAAATATTCAAAGAAACGCTAAAAGTGTTCTAAGTGATTGCTTCTGGAGAGCCGGAAATGGGAGTGGGGAGGAGTGTGAGAGGCTGGCAAGCTTTTCATTTTAAGCCTTGGAGATAACTATATGATTTTTAAACACATGTTCCTATGTTCTGCAGTAAAAATAAAGAACAAGTCACACCACCACCAGTATAAGCTGTGCCTGCCTCTCTGAGAGCCAGAGCAGCTGGGGTGGGGGCTGCCCCTGCCTCCCCTGGGGTACGAGCCCCTCCTGTCTAATCACCAGGGTGGAGGAGAGCAACAGCAAGCTTCTGGAATCTGAGAAGAAGCTGCAGGAGGAGCGGCAACGCACTGTGGTGCTTGAGCAACATCTGGAGAAGATGCGCCTGGAGCCCGGGAGGACGTCGGTCAGTCAGAAGGCAGCCCCCAGGAGCAAAACAGGTAGGGGCTGGACCAGGGGCCCCAGGTGCTAGGGGGCGGCCTTGCTGCTAATAGAGGAGCCCATCAGTGGCACCCTTTCTGTCCCTTTGAGAAAAATGTGGGAAGCAGAGGCCTCCATCGGGGTGGAGCTCTGCCTGCCCAGGCCACTGGGTGTCCTCGTCCCCTGGCCCCCTGGTCAGTACCTGGAGCCTCAGAGGGCTTGCACCTGGCCCTGACCCAGCCACCTTGCAAACCCTATGGAAGGCAGTGCCTCCGCCCAGTGCCCTCGGCTACCACCCCACTGCCCCCGACCCCAGCCCCTAACCCTCTGTCCTCAGCTGACTTTGTTTAGAGTTGAGTTGGTCCTGGGGCAGAGTTGGCCTGCTGAGGAGATCAGGACGGCAGTGGCAGACCAGGAGAAGAATCTCTGCTTCTGGCGGCAGGGATGAAATGGCTTCTCCCTAGGCCTGAGGACCTGGCTTCTCTGTCTCGTGTTCCACCATGCTCAACATGCAGCCACCATGGTCTGAGATGGCTACTTTGGCTTCCCCACCAGCAGCAGGAAGGGGAAGAGGGCAAGGGACGACCTGCTCCTTACCTTTTAAGGGCATGATCCTAAGGTTGCTCGGGTCACTTCTGCTTTCATTCCCTGGGCAGATCCTAGTCACATGACCACACCTAGCTGCAGAAGGAGAGTTTGTTGCCCTAAACTGAAAGATCTATTGCTCCAACACAGTGATTCTTAAGGTGTGGTCCCTGGACCAGCAGCATCAGCATCTTGTATGGCTGGGGCCTGCCAAGGATGTGGGATGCCGGAGCCAGAAGCCAAGGAAGGGAGAATCTTTAGTGTGGAGGGGCTAGGCCTGCCTCCCTCGGACAGCCTCATCCCAACCCCCTAATGGCTCTGGAGTGGAGGGGTTAACCCCACTGCCCCACCTCTCAGCACCCCAGTATATCTCCCACCCCCGCCCCTAGCAAGGACACTCAGACCTTTGTCCCCAGCCCAGATAAGATCAGAACATTTCAGAAGGATGTGCTAGAGTGAGGCATAAAGCAGGAGTTGTGCTTGTGCTCCCACCAGCAGGGCTCAGAACTCAAGGGGCCTTCCAGTTGCTCAGTCCAGACTGAGGAAGGTCCCTATAGCCTAGCCCTGCTGACCCTGCTGGGCCCTCAAGAATAGGTCCTCTAGGAATGGGTGTCTCTAGGCTTTGGGCTTACATCCTGAGTAACCCAACTAGGGAGTGCTAAGCCACGGCAGGAAAAAACACTTTGGTTCTGCCTAGACAGCAAGGAGCAGCTGCGCGAGAGAAAGGGTCCATTGTGGCCTTTGCCACCTGCTGGCCTGTGACACAGGCAGAGCACCACCACTTTAGGGAGGAGAGCACCCCTGCTCATCTGTAGAACGAGGAGACCCTCCATGGCTGTTCCACTCCAGTGGGGAAGATAGATAACAACAAAAACAAAAACAAAAACAGTAAAAGACATGCCAAGTCAGATGGAGGCAGATGCTGGGACCTGCAGCAGAGAAGGGAGCAGGAAGTACTGAGAGAGCAGCTGATTTCCAGGAGGCCAGTAAAGACCTCACTGAGGGGTTGACATCTGCGCAGAGACCGTGTGGGAGGGCAGGGGATGAGGTATATAGATACTTGAGGAAAGAGCAAGTGCAGAGGCACTGCGGTGAGAGCTTGGCTGAGGCCTGAAGGAACAGCAAGGAATAGCAAGTGAGGCTGGCACATAGTAGGGGAGGGGAGTACGAGGCAAGGTCAGAGAAGTGAGGGAATACTCAGCAGGTGTCCAATGACACAGGGCCTCAAGGTATAAGTGTGAATTCACCCAGGCCTCACAAAACTCTAGAGGCAAGAACTATTATCCTCATTTTACAGATGAGAAAACCAGCTCAGAGAGGTTGGTGGTTTACCCGAGGCCACACAGCAGGGGGTGAAAGCCAAGTCTACTGATGCCAGGTGACTTTCCCTGGGCCACACCATCCCTGAGAACCATGCCACCTCTGAGGCCCTTTTCAGTACAGGTTTTCCAAGGCTGGGACTGTGCCCAAATTCCCACCAGTTGTCTTTGTTCTCTTTTTCTGAGCATTCTGTGGCCTCTGGCCCTGACCACCCTGGATGCCCTGTATGTATGTAGGGAGCTGCTGGTCAGAGGCAGAGCTGCTGTATGTATGTAGAGAGCTGCTGGCTCTGGAGGCAGGGGGGCCCCAATGGTATGAGAGTATCAGAGGCAGTGATGATCTAGACTCAGGCTCAACCTGCAGGGCAGGCTTCAGGCCTGGCTGCCTTCCAGAAACTTGTGGTAGAGACCGAAGTGTAAGTCCAGGGGAATGCAGAGCAGGCATCAAGGAGGGCTTCTGGAGGAAGGCAGCCTTTGTCCTGCATCTTAAAAAAAAAAAAATGTGTTGAAGTATGGTTGACACACAGTGTTAGTTTCAGGTGTACAACACAGTGATTTAACAACTTAATAAATTATGCTATGCCTTGTCCTCCATCCTGAAGGAAGTATAATGTTTCAGCAAGCAGCAAAGCAGGAAATAGGCAGTGGGGTGGAGGGGGAGAAGGAGAGCATTTCCACAGGGCCACGGCCTCATCACAGAAAGTGGCTGCTACTGCCCCGCAGGTCTGCCCACCTCCAACACCAGGCACAACCCGAACGGGAGTGAAAGAAAGGACTCCTCCTTCACCCAGCTCTCCAATGTGCCCATGGAATCACAGATGGAGGAGCTGACCACCAGGTGCTCTCCTGCCCCATCTTCCTGAGGGTGGCATTGTCTGGGTGGAGGTACTTCCATGGGTGGAAGGATCATGTCCCTCCCCTTTGACTTCTGTTTGCCGGGAGGGCTGCTTGCTGGGTCCTGGGTTCTAGGCCTGCAATTCAGCAACTGGCCATCAGAGGGCAGAGAGACCCAGCTGCACCCTGAGGACCAGAGTTCCAAGAGTTTTACTAAGCATGGGTTGCTGAAGCCACTTTTCTCACTCAGTTAAACTTCAGGGTCAAAGGCAGTGATGTTCCTGGAAGCATGGGGGGACCCCTACATATTAGTACTCATCCTTGAGGCAGCCAACATTTGAGGGAGCTCCTGGGTGCCAGGCCCAGGTCTGCAGGTGGGCCCAGAGAGGAGTCAGTGCCACATGATGTCCCCCCAGGGTCCTGGGGAAGAGGGGATGGGTCAGAGAGAACCTGAGACCAAGAGCAGCCACGCTGGCAGCCTTGTTCCCGGCATCCTTGTGCACATGCGTGATGCACAGGTATGCCAGTGAAGGCTACACTGAGCCCTTTCTTCACGTGGCCCAGACTGGCCATCCAGGTGGAAGAGAATGAAATGCTGAAGGCTGCCCTGGGCAGTGCCCTGCGTGGAAAGGAGGAGGATTTCCGAATGTACCATGAGACCCTGGGCCAGGTGAAAGGGGTCTTTCTGCAGGCCCTGCGGCAGCAGAAGGCGGACAGTGCTAGGATGGTCGCCGGGTGTCAGCCTGGAGGGACGGGGCAGCCATAGGCCTGGAGAGGACTCCATCTGTTCCTGGAAGCCAAGCTGGGGCAACCACCTCAGCTAGAAGAAGTTCTCCTAGAAGAAGTTCCCCAAGGGTGAGCAAAGCCTGCACCTCAGACCAGGAGGGCAAAGGAGAAGCCCTGGTGGAGAGCCCAGACAGGCCAGGCAATGGCAGGGGAGAAGGACCGGCGACCTGCTCGGCACCAGTGAGAGCCCTGGGACGACAAGCCAGCTCTGAACAGACAGATGCAGCCCCTGGGGCAGGTGCTCATCACCCGTGGCCTTGGGCCTAGCTGGGAGGCCCTGCATGCCCACAGGGCTCCATCCATACCAGACAGCTCTCAGGGCTCCAGCTGCCAGCCTCCCCAGCCCACCCACCCCTCGCCAGGGCACACCCCCCCTTCACCCAGCTCCCCCTCCACAGCTCTGTGGCCACCCCAGCCTTCGCAAACATGGGGGTATGTACTACCACCCACTTTGTCAGCCCACTCCTCAAGGCTCTTCCTTAGATGCAGACCTTTGGACTTGTAATAATAATGGTTATTTTCACACTTGCCACAGGTCCCCATGAGTGAGCATCTGTGGAAGCCTGACCTAGTCCTATAGTAACCTGGGAATTGATAGTCCTATTTTGCAGATGAAGAAACTGAGGCTTACAGAGAGAAGCTGGACTAATATTTAACCCTGGCCCGCCTGACTACAAAAGCAGGGTCCTCCAAGTAGAGCAACTGGCCAGGGTGGGAGTGCCCACCCCCAGTCAGCTGCTCCAGGAATTCCTTCCATTTGCTCCCAAAAGGCTGCAGATCATGGATACCGGTGGGGGGAGGGGGGCGGGCAGGAGCTTTGGAGCAGGAGGATTCTGAGACATGAGTCCTGGCCAAGTCGAGGTGCCCCTCCCTCATGGCCACATAGGGGTGAGCCCCCACGTCCCTCTGTAACTGTCAGTGTCCCCTGGGCTTCACTGCATGTACAGCTATGGGGAAGGGTGGCCACATATACCAACCACAGCCACACATACCAACCAGACCCCTTGGCTGCACCTGTGTACACACAGGCCCCCACAAAGCTGTAGATGCATGGAAATACCTAGACTCAGGAGCACGCAGTTGTATGGTGCATTCGTGCACCCCAGACAGTGCCGGCTCTGGACTCAGGCTCTCCACAGGGCATGTGTCCCCGCACACACACACACACACACACACACACACACACACGAAGACCAGTCACTCCCCAGTGACTCACAGATGTGGGGACACATGTTGTGTGGAGACCTCCCAGAGGGAAGCCACCTGGGGTTCCTGGGACCTGCCTACTCAGGCCCTTCCTCAGGTGGGGCCATGGAGGTGCTCTGTGCTGGTGGGGATGCTCTAGACACAGGTCTAGAGGTCCCCTGGCAAGGTGTAGTGAAGGCCATCAGTGACTCTGGTGGGCTCCTTAGGGCTCCAGGAAGGGAAGAGTTTTTCTGATTCCCTGTGAAAGGAAATGGCCAGGCAGAGCCAGAGGGGCTGAGAGGCCCTGTTCTGGGAGGGGACAGTGTGTGACCGTGAGGAGTTGGCCCAACACAGAGTCAGGGCACCAGACCCAGTAGTCCATACCTTCCCTTGCTGGCATGGGAAGCCCCACAGGGTGATCTGAGCATGTGTGGGTGCAGGCTCAGGCCCTCCATGGAGTCCTTGGGAGGGATAACCAGCTATCCTTCCTCTGGGATGGACAGAGGTGCAGGGGCCACCTCCAGGAAGTGCAGGGTGGCATAACCCACACCCTAACCACTCGAGGGTGGTTTTGCTGCCTTTCCTGGCTCAGGGCTGCGTCTGAGAGAGGAAAGGGCACCAAGTCACAGGGTCTGCATTGGTGGGGGACCTGGGGCACATCTCTTTCCCCATTCATCAGCTGTGTGGCATCAGGCGAGTTACTGGACCTCCCTGAACCTCCATGTCATCTGTAAAACGGGGACAGGAAGAGAAACCTCCTTCAAGGGCTGCGGTTATATGTGTCAAAGAATAGCTCAAAGACATTGAGCTAATCATTAGGTTGCCTTTTACTTCTATACAATGGACACATATCAATAGATTGTTTTCATTCCACAAAGATGAAACAGGCTTTACATGAAGGAGAGTGGACAGGAAAACTGCAGTCAGGTGTAGTAAAGCTTGTTTGCTTATTTTGGGGTCAGCAGATTAACTGGCATCTTGCAGAGGTCAGTCTGGGCGTTCAGTCCTTGCTTAGGCCAACTGGGGGCATAATGACAACTGTCTTAACTTCCAGATTCTACGGGCAGTCTTGAGAGCTTTGCTGTGGAACCACGTGCCAGGGGCCCCTGTCACGTCTGCTGGCACCTGCCATCAGCTTAGTTAGACCAAGTCTGCTCCATCCCCCATCAGAGTCCCTCTACAGGAGTCGCTGACTTAAAAAGTGTCAAGTGCTAGAGCAGAGGCTAGCACACAGTAAGCACTCAATAAATGGTAGCCCTCAGTATGACATCTGTTAGTTCAGCAAGCACCTGTTGAGTAGCCCCACCGTCCAGGCACGGTGGTATCAGGTGAGACAGACACGGTCCCTGAGCTCGAGGAAGTCCCCTGCCAGCTGGGGAGACAGACTTACAGGTCACCATCCACTCATCCAGCCTGCCTGAATCAGGCAGTGAGTGCCACTCACATGCCAGCCTCTTCCCCAAGTCAGAGATAATCTGATTTGCCAAAGGAGAGGTTGGGGTGGGGGGTATGGGATGCAGAGACAATGCAGCCCCTCACAGCCTCTCACCTTCTGTGCCGAGATTTCTGGGCTCACCGCCCAGATCTGGGCAGGGACGGGGCTGTCCATATTTCCCTGAAGCATGGGTGGTGGGGGATGGAAGGGGAAGACCGAGGAGAGCTAGTGAGCAGAACTTTTTAAAGAAGGGAGGGGTTGTCAAAGGGGCCAAGGACTAGGGCCCTGATGATCTAATGCAGGTGGGCCAGACGGGGAGTGGGACAACCTGGTCCGTCCAGCTGAGTGCCCGTGACCCCTCCCGAGCAGCACCACCTGTCCCTGGGGACCCCGAGGAGGCACCCCCAGCCCTCAGGGCGGGTGGGCACCAGTGGGAAGCAGGTGGGCTGGACTCGCTTTTCACAGATGAGAACACCAAGATCCCTTCACAGAGTCAGAAGTGGTAGGAGGGGGAGAGAGGGGCAAGGACAAGTAAAGAGGCGGGTGGTGGAGAGGCCTCAGGTGCGGACTCCCCCTGGCTGCACCCCACGCAGGTGCTGCCAGCCTGGGTGCTCAGGTTCCAACACTGACAGGTGAGCCTGGTCGAGCTGTGGGTGCGGTGGGGCCACCGTCCCCATGAAGGCCTCTGGGGCACTGCAGCTGAGCCGGACGAGGGCGTAGCCTGCCTCAGGCCCTTTGGAGCCCTGAGTACATTCCATCACCACTGGGCCCCTCCCTGCTTTCAGGAGCTCAGGGACGATGGTCTGCAGCGGGGGTCCTCCCTTGAGCCACCATCTGCAGCGGCCAGAACCAGCCTCACCTCTCCCTCTGCACCTCCAGCGAGCCCACAGCTGCCCTATCTCCTCTCCACAGGCACTGCCTACGGTGTAAGCCTTGCATAGACACACAAACACAGTACACACATCACACACACATATACACAACACACATGCACACACAAAGTGCATGCAGCATACACAAACACAACACGTGCCACAAACAACACGCAACACCAAACATACACACATACAACTGACACAAAACACAATCATAGACACAGGATATTTTCTATGAATTTTTACTTTAAGTAACAACATACTGAGAAATGACAAGGGATGCTGAGACTTGAGAGAATTGCCCCCCCTGCCCACTGCATCTTTCCCAGTGGCCCTGGTGGCATTCGGGAGGCTGACCCCAGGCCCTTGTGCCAATCAAAGCCTAGTCAGCTTCCTGCCCTTGTTTTGTGGGCTGGACATGCCGGGCACCCTCCCTCACCGCCCCTCTCATATAGGGAGGAGCTGGCCTTGGACTGTCCAGCGCCAGGTCCAAGAACCCTCCCCAGCCTTCTATCCGGGCTGCCATCCCCAAATGCCCAGCTCCCTGCAGACCCCACTGCATGGGGTCACCTGGGGCCCAGCTCCTGCTGCGTGAGCCTTACCTTTCTGGGCTTCTGGAGTGAGGCATCTGTATCTCTCTTTGTGAGGAATTCAGTGAGCCAGGCCCTTCATGGAATAAGTCACAGAATCCCCCCAAAAGCCCAATAAATAAGAGAGCAGGTCCACTTACAGATGAGACTCTGAGGCTCTGAGAAGTGGATCCCCCCAGCGAGGCAGATCTTGGGCTCGGTGCAAGTCAGCTGGCTGAACCTGTGCTCTGAACTACTTTTCTGAGCCCTTCTCTCCGAGCCTCATGGGGTTACCAGCTGGACGGCTGGCCCAGACTGGTCTCCGCTTGCACCCAGGATCGGTGAGTGGTGGGGTTCTTACTCCTGCAGGGCAATCAGTTCCAGAAGCTTATGGGGCTGACCTCCTTGTGGGTCAGTATCCTTTTCTACCAACTGTCAAACAATGGTAACACCCTCCCTAGGAGTTGTGGTGACATGAAAAGGAGTTAGTCCATGTAAAGCCTTAGAATCATTGCCCAGCTGCTGTGATTAACTTACTACCCTTCTAACCACCATTGACTCTTTACCTCAGGAGTCTGCTCAGGTGTGCCCCCACACCCACCCCTGTATAGGAAGCACTCCCTAACTCAGTCTTGCTCAGGCATCTGTCCCTGACACTGGCCTCCCCTAGTGCCCATGAGCCCACCTGCAGCCCTCCCCCAGCCCCTATATGGTGCAGCAATTTCAGTGTACACTTCCCAGGGCTGGGCACCCGTGATGAAAGCCTCTGTGTTGTTCTATGGGGTATGTATGCTGCTTCCTCTGGGCCAATGTGTCTGCTTGGGAGGAAGTTCATTGCCTAAGGGCATCATGGAAGGGTAGGAGACTCTCTTTCCCCTTCCCGGGTCTTGGTCAGGCTCTGGAAGCTCCCCTGCTAGGGGGTGGGAGAGGGATGCAGGAAGCAGCCGAGCCTATGGCTCTCTATGGAGAGGATCAGCAGCAGCTCTAGGACCTGTCCTGTGACTTGTCACAGTCACAAAGCTCCTTTAACCCTCCACGCCTCAGACCCTGCTCCCTGCACATGCATGAACTGGCCTCCAAAGACATGGCACAAGTGTATTCAGCTACCCTAGATTCTGAGGTCCTCATCCTAAAGGAAGACTGCCAGATGTTCCCATCCTCTTGGTGGGTTCTTCAGAATACCCTTCCCCATTGGGGGAAGGCTGGGCTGAGGCCTTGGCTGCCCCTTCCACAAGTACAGCTCTGTCCTGTTGCCCTTACAGGGCTCCCAGTTGGATAGGGACATTCAAAAGGATGCCAGCCATTCCAGGAACCTACTTAAGCCTTGCCAAGTGACCCTACTAGCACCCCTCCCCCTGAGCAACTGCATATGAGACACGACTGGAGTATGGGACCCCCCCCTGCCACATGTCTCCTGACAGTTCCAATCCTACTAGTCAAGCCAGTCCTCCCTCAGGCACCAATGCCTGGCCAGTTAGGACTCTGAGCATAATGAAATAAGGCAGAGCAGGGGGCTGTATGGTTCTGCCCTTGGGAGTTCACTCATAAAGGTGTGGGCTAGAATATGGAGCTGAGCATGAAGTGTGCTTGTGAATGCGTGCAGTGGGGGCAGGGCTCACAAGAGGTCGGTGGGGACTGCCCAGAAGTCTTCCTGGAAGAGAGGAGTCCTGGCCAGCAGTGAGAGGGAGGCACAGGCTCTACAGAGCAGAAGAGGCAGGCTGAAGTGGGGCCCAGGTGTCCCTGTTAGAACCTATGCCACTGGCCACCCCTTCCCCCAACCCTGCCCCCCCATGATCCTCCCTGCGGCTCCCTGTGGCCAGAAGCTCTGCAGTGCTCGGCTTGGCTCCACTCTGCTCAGCTCCGCTCCAGGAAGGCCACCTCCTCCCTGCCCTCCTCCACCCTCCTCCACCCTCCTCCTGCTGTCACCACTCATCGCTCATAGCCTTGAGGGGGTGGGGACCCCAGGGCTGGACACACCTCACTGTGGCCCCAGAGCCTAGCTGGTCGGACGGACGCACGGTCGGACGCAGGACCCCGGAGCCCCGAGGTGGGCAGTGTGCCAGGGTCCCTCACAGCCTCCTCAAGGTCAGTGCCAGCCGGGGATGCAGCCACTCTGGGGTCCTTGAGACCTGTGGAACCCACCTCAGGCCCCTCATCCCAGACTTTAGACCCCAAAGCAGTCTTCACTGCAGGTGTACCTGAGGTAGGCAGGTCCTGGGGACGGGGGCACCGCTGTGTCCAATGGGGGCCCCAGTCCAGGGGTCTGCCGGAAGAGGTCTCAGGCTGGGGGCCAGCCCGGGCTCTGCTCACGGAGGCCTCACTGGGGACACCCCGCACCGGCCATGGGGAGCTAAAATTGGAAAGTGGCAAGTGGGAGGCAGCTGACAAAGCTATTTCGCGGGCTCTTCACCGTGCTCCGGTTTCAAGCTCCTGCTCCATTAACCCGATCCTCCGGGCCTCCCTCCCCCACCTGGCGGGTGAGGAGGTGCCTCAGCCCTCAGGCCAACAGTACAGAGTCCGGGAAGCCCCCTGGTATGGACAGGGGCAGCAATGGTCTTCTCTTATCTGAGATTCCCCTAGGAACACACAATCCCATCCCAGGCTCACTGTGTGACCTTGACGGGTCCCTGCCTCTCTCTGGTCCATGGCCCCTCTGTCTCAGTAGTGGGGAGAATGCTGACTGTGGGGGCCCAGGAGAGCTGGTTGCAGTGCTGGTAAGGGAAATTTCGGGGAGGATCACGGGTGGGAGACAGGGTCATGCCAGCCTCCTCTTGGCCCAGCCTGGCCTAGCCCAAGACGGTGCCTAGACACGTTCCTCCTCTTAATTTGGCCCTGGGTCTGTTAACTGCTGGGTCTTTTAACTGTGCACCCTTGGGAAAGCCTAAGGCCAGGCTGGAGCATAGGAGGGGCACAGGAGGAGATGGCCCAACAGGACTGCTGGGGATGAACTAGGCCCTGGAAGAAGGGAGTGGCTAGGCTCACCCTGAGCCCGATACCGGTCAGCACCTTGGACAGTAGCCAGCACCCTCCCCGGTGCCCAACCGGCCCTGCTTGGCCCCACACCCACAACCCCCAGGGCACCTCTTCAAATAGCACAGCCTCCAGCTGGCATCCAGGGCCCGAATACCCAAGCATTGAGAGAGTGGGCTGGTGTGGCCACGGACACAGGCAGGGACCAGGGAAGTGGCAGGCCGGGGCTCAGGAACCCGTTGGGGCAATGGGAATCAGTGAGAGGCTGGAAGCTGAATGAGGTAAGGAAGCCTAATGCTGGGGATCGGACCTGGGAGGCCAGGAGACCTCAGGGAAGTAAAGCAGCTCTAGAGGGGTGTGGGAATCAGAGAAGGGGGCACTAGCGGGAGGGGCGGCATTGTCAGGAGCTGACGGAGGTTCACTGAGGGGGTTGGGGACCCTGAGGAAGAGAAACATGACTGAGGTGATACAGGTGGGGTACCTCTGTGTTAAGGTTATCTGAGGTCCTGGCAGGAGCAATTTGAGCAAAGAGGGGGGCCGGTCCACCTGGAAGGTATGAAGGAGTAAATGAAGGTGAGGCAGGCAAGCTGAGAGTCAAGATTATGCTTTCAAAAGCCTCCAAAGGGAAGGGTGGGAGCTAGAGCAGCAGCTAGGAAGTGGAGCCCGATGTTATGGCATCTGGGAGGAGTAGGGGGGAGTGGGGGCAGGAAGGGATAGGGTAGGATAATAGCATGAGATCCCTGAAGGGGAAGAGGGGCAATCTCTCTTCCGAATGGGATCCCCATCACCTCTGTGGGGCTAGGCGGGGCTGGGGGGTGGCAATACCCTCACCCAATCTGTCTTCCCCAGTCCCATCGAGGCTATGGGCATCAGGACCACGTTGCCCACAACGGAGCTGGGCTTGTACTCCCTGGTGCTGAGTGGGGCTCTGGCCTATGCTGGCCGAGGCCTCCTTGAAGCTTCACAAGGTAACAGCCGGACTCTGGAGCACAGGGTGGGTGGGACCCTTCTTTCCCTGTGTCCTCAGGCTTCCACCCAGCAAGGCCATAAACTTAAAGACTCCAGACCCAGAATATTCCAGGGGTCTGAACTGAGGTAGGTGTAGTCACAGGGAAAGACACTGACAGAGACCGGCCCCAGAGAGAGACTGAGACACTCAGGGAGACAGTCATAGAGACCTGGCCCAAGACACACAGTAAGACCCACAGAGAAGAGGCACAGACAGACCTAGACCCATTCCCTCCCCAGTAGGGTGGGGGTCAGCCTTGCTGTAGGGGCAGGCAAAGGTGTGGGTGTGAAGTCCCCCCGGCGCCCACTGAGGCCACACTCTGTTCTCAGATGGGGCCCACAGGAAGGCCTTCCGGGAGTCCGTGCGACCTGGCTGGGAGTACATTGGCCGGAAGATGGTAGGTCCCCCATGCCCCAGTGTCCCTGACTGAGGTCCCGGATCCCCGGCATGTCTCTCTCATCCCAGACCCTTCCCAACTATCCCCCCATTCTAGATGTTCCCATGTAACTGAGGGCTCCCAGTGAGAAAGGTCCCTGGCTTGAGCTCCAGAACCTTCAGTTTCTCTCACTGATTCAACCTGTGTCCTCCTGGGGCCACATCAAACCCGCCCCCAGACACTGCTCATTTAGGAAAAGTTAAACTGAGACATGCTTCAGCAGGGGCTTCCAGCACCATCTTTCCCAGGAACAATGCCATAATGCTGGAATGTCAGGCAATATGCTGAACAGAGGGGGAGCTCTGAGGGGTAGGGCAGCTCACATGGGCCCCTCGCTTCTTTCTACCTACCTGGCTGGTACTTCCCTCAGAGGGGAAGGCAAGGGCCTGCCAGCCATGGCTGTCCTCTAATGCACAAGAATACGGGGGCTGGGGAGGCACTAGGACTCTGATCAGCCCAAGTGCCAGCCCATCCTGCCTCCTGCCCCTGCTTAACCTGCCCGGGCCCGCTCCAGGACGTGGCTGACTTCGAGTGGGTGATGTGGTTCACCTCCTTCCGCAATGTCATCGTCTTCGCCCTCTCTGGACATGTGCTGTTTGCTAAACTCTGCACAATGGTTGCCCCCCAGGTGAGCTGGACCTGGGCCACCCCAGCCCCCCTGCCAGCTTCCCCTAAGCTACAAGGGTTGGGGTCCCACCTCCATTTGTATGGTTAGATAAGCCATTCCTTCTCCCTGTTCACAGCTCCGCTCCTGGATGTATGCTGTGTATGGGGCTCTGGCTGTGCTGGGCACGATGGGCCCTTGGTACCTGCTGCTGCTGTTTGGTCACTGTGTCAGTCTCTATGTGGCCTCACTCTTGGGCCAGCCCTGGCTCTGTCTTGGCCTGGGCCTAGTCAGCCTTGCCTCCTTCAAGCTGGATCCCCTGATCTCCTGGCAGGTGTGCACTGGGGAGGGGCAAAGGTGGAGGGTACAGAAATAGGACCCCAAACTTCTCACCCCATCCAAAGCCCTTGCTTCCAGAATCTCCCCTAAGAATTTCCTTCACTCTCCCACCTGTCTCTAAACCTTTGAATGTGGCACATACCCCCCCCCCCATAGTGGTCCCCTCCACAACAGCAGGGATGTGTCTAGCTCGTTCCCTGCTCTATCCAAGCACTAATGCGAATTAGCACTCAGTGGCCAGTGTGGATTGGCTCTGCAAGAGAGGAAGGGGCAGGACAAGGCTGGGCCCCTGTGGGAAGCTGGGTGGGCTTCCCAGAGACGGGGGCACCTGGTGAGCTGGCGGCCTGTTCTCTCCCATCCAGAGCGGGTTTGTAACAGGCACTTTTGATCTTCAAGAGGTGCTGTTTCATGGGGGCAGCGGTTTCACAGTGCTGCGTTGTACCAGCTTTGCGCTGGAGAGCTGTGCCCACCCTGACCGCCGCTACTCCCTAGCTGACCTGCTCAAGTACAACTTCTACCTGCCTTTCTTCTTCTTCGGGCCCATCATGACCTTTGATCGCTTCCATGCCCAGGTGAGGGGACACCCTGTGAGCTTCCAGCACAGGCCTGGGACTTCCTCTTCAGACAGAGGCTCCCATCTCAGCCAGGACTCCCAGGGCAGGCTGTGTCCTCACCCCAGGCATTACTCCCAGATGAAGCCATAATACCTTACCTCCTCAGACCCCAGTATGGGGTCACATTCCCTGCTCAGACGGGGATCAAAGGGTGGAAAGGTGACTCCACTCTCAAGCATGGCTGCCAGGATAAAGCCCCGTTTCCCCTCATCCTCTGATCCCCAGGCAGTTGGTGATTCCCCATTCAGACAGGATTCCCCCAGCAGGGCTTGCCTCCCCACTCAGACACTTTGCATCCCCCAGATGAGCCAGGTGGAGCCGGTGAGGCAAGAGGGTGAGCTGTGGCGCATCCGGGCCCAGGCCGGCCTCAGCGTGGTGACCATCATAGCCGTGGACATCTTCTTCCACTTCTTCTATATCCTCACCATCCCCAGTGACCTCAAGTTTGCCAACCGCCTCCCGGACAGCGCCCTCGGTGGGTGCGCATCTGGGACAGAACAGGGACCAGGAAAGACAGAAAGACACACCCTCTGCACCCCCTGGCATCACTCCTGGGGAAGCTAACACCCAGAGAGGCCACAGCACCTATCCAAGGGTGGGGGAGCTGGGATTTATTCTTTGAAATGTCTAGGACTTGGAGTTAGCTTTGTTCTGAGAAGCCAGAGAGGTAGGGGCAGAGCCCACCTCACAAGGGCCTTGGGACAGTTTCCACCACCTGGATGGGGTCTCCCTGGGTTGGGCCGGGCCCAGCTCCTCCCCTAGGACGTGTGGGGGGGGTTGAGGTCTCCATGGGGGTGGACCAGGGGCCAGGATCTCTCCCCAGACCTGCAAACCTGCCCAGAGGGGCCATAGGGGAGGGCCGGGCTCTGTGCCTCCCCACCATGATTTGGGGGATCTGGGGAGCGGAGACCAGCACGATGCCCTCCAGGCAGTGATGACACCCTGCCCCCAGCTGGCCTAGCCTACTCAAATCTGGTGTATGACTGGGTGAAGGCGGCTGTCCTCTTTGGTGTGGTCAACACTGTGGCACGCCTCGACCACTTGGATCCACCCCAGCCTCCCAAGTGCATCACAGCACTCTACGTCTTCGCGGAAACGTGAGTGCAAGGAGATCTGGGGGGCACGCCCCTACAGTCCCCACCTCCCGCTAGCCTTTTTCCCCTATTCCCCTGGAACTTTCTTCCTGGCTGATTCACACACATCCGCTCTCCTTCCTCAGGCACTTTGACCGTGGCATCAACGACTGGCTTTGCAAGTGAGTTGGGGTGGGGTGGAGTGGGGCAGTGGTCACAGTCATCCTGCCAGGTATCTGAGCCCGGCAGTGAAGAGATGGTCCACGCTTTAAAAGATAAGCCCTGGGCCAGAGGAAGGAAGAAGAAGGTCGTCACAGAGGTCTAGGTGAAAGACAGAGGTTTGGATATGGGTGGGGCACTGGATATGAGAGAAATGGTTGGAGTGGGAGAGGTCCTTGTGGTGGTTGGGTGTGAAGGCCTGGGGTTCAGAGAAGTCTGGAGGATGGATGCAGCTCTGAGCATTGAGTGTGGGAGGGTGGTCTTTAGTCCTTGGGAGTGCATAAGTTCCAAGGAGAGAAAGTCAAGAAGAGGAGAGGTATAGCTGAGATTGGAGCTAGAAGGACTGGGGCAGCTGGGTCACAGGCTGCTGTTGGAAGCTAGCTACTGAGGGGGATGACAGAGGAATTGCTAAAGGGAGAAGTGAGGTGTCTTAAGATAGCAAATAATGGGCCACGGTTTGTTGCTAAGAGGAACTATAAGTTGGGGAGGCAGGATAGAGGGGTGATTGATAGGGTGAGGTCCCCAAGGAGGGAGGAGGCAATGGAACCAGTGCTAAGCAGAGGCTCAGCCTCAGGACAGGGAGGAGAAAGAGAAGCTAGCATGGATACAGGGTGTCAGGTTAGTGTAGAAAAGTAAAGGATCCACCTGAAGGCTTCAGTTTTCTCCACGAAGTAGGAGACAAGGTCACCGGCTGACAGATGCAGGGTTGGGCATCACTGTGCCACCTTTCCTCTTGGCTAGCTCACCCACCACATGCACTCACAGCTGGGGAAGTGATAAGGGTGGAGTACCCACTGCAGAGCATGGCAGAAGAAGCTGACTAGAGAAACCTTGGCATTGAGAGCCCAGGTGGGGGTGGAGGCAGTGGACATATGGACTTTGATATGTGAAGTTGTGAGATTTTAGCTTCTTGAGTGGAAGTGAGAACGCGGGTGATCAGGCTCTCCCAGACAGGCAAGAAGGAAGAATTGAAGGATAAGGGGCTTTAGGTTCTTTACAATGATGACTTATTGAATTGAAGCCAGTTAAAGAGGGCAGGAAAGATAGAGTCTCAAGGTGAGGAAGAGGGGGAGGGATCAATGAGATTGAAGAACTGGATTTGGGGGGCCACATCTGGAGGGGATGGGGGGAGAATGGTAACTTGGAAGCAATGAAAATTCAAGTGGTGCCAAAGTTGGGAGTATGGCCATGGGAGCAGGTGGCTGAGATGGTGTGGAGAAGAAACCATTGGAAATGAAGAGGTCTAGGCATGGGGAGGCCTTACTCAGTGGGTCTTCTACTGAATGCATGTAACAAGTACTTATTGAGTACCTACTATGTGCCAGGCACTGTTCTGGGCACTGGGGATTTACAACAGTGAATATGACAAAGGCCTTGAATTGGAGTTTACAGTCTACTGGGGATAAACAGACCATAAACAGGTAAACAAACACATAAATAAGATCATTTTAGAAAGTGGTGTTATGAAAAAAGTGAAACTAGTGTAATGGAATAGAGGTTGGCCACAGGACAGAAGCTTCTACAGTTGTGGTCTGTGCAGGCCTCTGTGCAATGATATTCAAACTGAGACTTGAGTGATAAGGAAATCTAGGGAAGAGAATTCCAAGGAGAAGGAACAAGTGCATAGGCTTGAGGCAGGAGCCAGCCGTGTTTGTTGGAGGGACGGGAAGGCAAGTAAGGCGACAACATTAGGGGGAAATGGTGGGTGATGAAGTCAGGGAGGGTGGCAGAAACCAGACATCGTGGGACTCCTAGCCTTAGTAGGTAGGTAGTTTAGTCTAACTGCAATAGGGAGCCATTGGGGGAGGGTTTGATTGGGGAAGTCATGTGATCTGACTTAAACCCTTTGAGATGCCTCTTGTTGCTGTGTGGAGAACAGATGGTAGGGGTCCAAAGGCAGAAGCATGGAAATGACTTAAGAGACTTTTGCAGTAATCTATGACAGGGGATGACCTGCTGGACAAGGGTGGTGGCAGTGGGGGTGGCAAGCAGCAGTCAGGACTGTGTGGAGCCCATAGAACTTGCTGGCTTGGATGTGGAGAGAAGAACTGACGGTCCAAGATGGCGCCAAGGCTTCCAGATGCAACTGAATTGCTGGAAGTGTCATTATCTGAGATGAGGATGCAGCGGGTTTGGACAGGGATGGGGGAATCAGTCATCCAAGTGAGATGTCTAGTGACGGATGTATGAGTCAAGAGAGCAGGCTAAAGACTCAGATTTGGGCTCATCAGCATAGAGACAGGGTTCAGAGTCTTGGGTCTGGATGAGATCACTTCGGGAATGAATGAAGAGATATGAAGTTCAAAGCTGAGCCTTCCACATTCTGAAGTTGGGAGAGGAGGAGCAGCCACCTGAGGTCAGGCATGCTGGATGTGCCCAGGATGATACTGTTGAATGGGGCTGCCCCTGCTGTGTACCCTTTGTCCCTCTCCTACCTGCCTTCCCCCACATTCCCTCTGGTCCTTTCTCCTGCCTTTCTTGCAGGTATGTGTATGATCACATTGGTGGGGAGCACTCTGAGGTGATCCCAGAGCTGGGGGCCACTGTGGCCACATTTGCCATCACTACTCTGTGGCTTGGACCTTGTGATATTGTTTACCTGTGGTCATTCCTTAACTGCTTTGGCCTCAACTTTGAGCTCTGGGTGCAGAAGCTGGCAGAGTGGGGGCCCCTAGCACAAATTGAGGTGAGTGGCAGGAGGTCTGGGGCAGGAGTTGGCTAAATCACTGCAGAGGGTGGCACTACTGCTCTCACATTTGGCCCCCAGTCCAGAACTTTCTCAACACAACGTCCCTGTTGTCAGGGCAATGGCTCCCCCTGCAGGTATCTAGCACCCCGTTCTGTGGGGTGTGGGCACCTGGGCCAGGCTGTGTTGGTCAGGCCCTCCCATCTCTCTGGTACTCAGTATTCCCATCTTTAACAATGAGGGAAGGCTGACCTGGGGACTTTCAGAGACCCAACCATATGCCCAGGACCCAGGGTAGCCATGTAGGCAGGGCCTCTGACCAAGCATGTCCTCTTTCCCCTGGCCCTCTCGTCCCACTGCCAATGCTTCCCTGGACTGGGCAGGCCTCTTTGTCGGAGCAGATGTCTCGCAGGGTCCGGGCCCTGTTCGGAGCCATGAACTTCTGGGCCATCATCATGTACAACCTTGTAAGCCTGAACAGCCTTGAATTCACAGAGCTGGTTGCCAGGCGACTGCTACTCACAGGTGAGGGCCAGGGGGGTTGTGGACACAGGAAATGCCAGGCATCAACCTTGAGGTCTGTGACCTTCTGAAAGGCCCCCACCCCACCCCAACACCCCAGGGGCTCAGTGGGGAGGGCCAATCAGGTGAGGAGAGCCATTAGAAGAAGAGTCACTGAGGATGGGGTCCTGCTCCTGGGCATCAATGACCTCTTCCCCACACAGGGTTCCCCCAGACCACTCTGGCTGTCCTATTTGTCACCTACTGTGGTGTCCAGCTGGTGAAGGAGCGAGAGAGAACCATGGCACTAGAGGAGGACCAGAAGCAGGACAAAGAGAAGCTGGAGTAGGTGGGAGGAAGAAGGAGGGAAGAAGGATGGCTCTGCGCAGCTATTCCCAAGCCCAGGCCCAGGCCTGGCCAGACGGGGCCTGACCCATAGAATAAAAGACTTTTCTACCATAGTCTGGCTGTTCCCTATCCCTTCCACTAGCAATCTCCTGGCTCTCTGTCCATGATGAATGAAGAGGTGGAGGTTCTGGGTTACAGGGAGGTGGGTCAGGCTTCCAGGATGTGGAGGAGATACCCACATGGGGTGTGGAGGCCACCGACCTGGGCAACCCAGCAACTGACATTGACACCCGGAATCTTCAACCACCTGGCCACTGACTCTCGGAGTACCTGATTTCAGACCCTGAGCTACTTGCTCAGAAGGCACTTTATTCCTCTTAAGGAAGGTGACTCATCCAGGCTGCGGGGTGCGCTTGAGAGGGACACTTCCCATCTGACAGGCAAGGAGACAGAGTCCTGTGGGTAAATTTACCTGCACACAGGCTGGCTGGGACTGGCCTAGAACACAGCTTGGGAACACATCCCTGTGGTTCTGGCTCATGGAACAAGGAGACCAGGGACATGGAGATACCAGAGAGCCCCAAAGCTCCCGGTCCCTGCTGGAAAGGCCAGGACTGGGCAGCGATTCCCCTCCCCTGCTGAAGCAGCGCCCTGGTGGCACAACGGGATCCAGGTGGGCTCTAGCCTCTCCCGGCCTCCTCTCTGGAGCCCCTAGAAGCCTGGGCTGGTGTGGCCACAGGATGGGAGGGCTGCTCGGTTCAGACGCCCTGCGCTGGTCACATCTTGGTCAGGCGCAGCACATTGAGTCGCACAGGGAGGAAGGTGGCACCGGCTGCGTAGGCAATCTCCCGCAGGACACCCTCCCACTTCTTCTCGTCCTCATTATATCTGGGGGTGGGAGTGGGGACAGAGCCACAGAGCCGGGTCAGCCTAGTAGTGCAGAGTGTGCCACAGTGGGGAGGGGCAGCTGAGTCTACTAGGCCTACCTCTGGAGTGTCCCCACAGCCCCAGGCCCCTCTCCAGAAAGGTCAGGTCCTGGAGAACTCTCATGCCTTGGGAAAGGGGTCCCCTCAAAGGCCCACCTCCAAAGAACAGCCACCTCCCTTTCCAGGAAGGGTCACCTCTCAGGGAATGCCACACCTTCAGGAAGGCCTACATCCCCACAGACCCTTCTCTGGAGAGTTCTGTATGCAGCACTCCAGAAGACCCCCAAGACCCACCCGCCCCCAGGCCTGCAGCAGTGGGAATAACTGAAGGTGTGGCAGGAGCCCCAGACACTGACACCTTTTCCACCCCCAGGAAGGGTCAGTGCGGAAAGCCATGGCTCTAAGAAGTTGGAGTCCAGCTTCTTTTCAATCCTGGCCCCAGCTCTCCACTCCAGCATGAGCACCCAAGGGCGGAGCGGGGAGGAAAGACCTGGCTGCCTCTTCAGGGGACCCTCTACTCCCTGGGGCCTGTTTCTGTGGGTCTGTGCCCTAGGCTTGGGGCAGCTCCTGACTGCAGCATACTTGACGCTCCACAGTGAGGCATGGTGCCCTGTGAGCAAACCAGGACTGTGCCAGCCAAACCAGAAAGAACCGGGCTGAGCAAGGCATGTCTGCCATCCCTTCCCCACGGGACCCCCTGGAAGAGGGATCACCCCACCCCCAGATGAGCTTGCCAGGCGCCACTGAGGGGCATCAGCCTTGCTAGGGTTTTCCCTCACCCCCCTGGGCTCTGGCTCACCTCCAGATGTCGTTGAGCTCTGTGGGGACCAACTCTCCAGACTCAGTCTCCAGCGTGGCAAAGCCACCAATGGCATAGAGGGTGCCCGCCAGGCTGACCAGGCTGAGTGAGCTGCGTTCTTGCGGGAAGGCCTCAAAGGATGCCCACCTGGTGGGGAGGAGGGGGTGTGAAGAGGTACATCACCCAGGGGCCTCAGCTCAGTAGCCCCAGTGCCCACAGCTTCAACTACACCCCTTAGAAACCCAAATCCCAGGCACCCATGCTCCCCGCACGACCTGCAGTGTCCTGCCCCTCCCAGCACGGCCCTCTGGTGTACCCTGTTCTCCTACCTCTCCCATCTCCCTTCCTGGTTCGCTGGTCATTGCATCCAGCCCGGTACAATCCACAATGGATCTCCCCACCGACTCTCCTTTGCTCCTGAACTAATTCTTCCTTGTTCGCTACCTCTGCGGCCCTGAGCTGTCCTCCCTGGTACCCCTGCCCCATCCTTCTTCCCCTCTTCACTGCCCCATTTCCATCCCTACCCTCCAAAACAGCTCTCCAGTCCACAGTCACCACGGAGCATAAAATCCAGGCACAGGACACACCTCTGCTGATGTGACATTCTCATCTCCCACCTGCCTAGCCTCTCATATCCTCAGGCTCCTTCCTGGATAATGCATCAGCCCCCACGATCCCTCAGGGCTCAGGCCTCAGCTTCTCCCTCTTTCTCCTGAGGGAGCCTGTCCCCTCCATTTACTGTTGGCCCCAGATCTCCCCAGTTCAGCATTCTCTCTGCCCTAATGGGCTCTCCTCTTGGACACTCCCAGGTCCTTCAAATCCACATGTCCTAACTGGACCCTCACATTTCTCATCTAACCCCAATGGTTCCTCAGAAGCATCCACTTCTCTCTCTTATCCCCAACATTCAATCAATCTCTAAATTCTGGGGTTTTTTTTTTTTCTATCTCCTAAACTTTTGCTACTCTAAGTGTGGCCCATGGACCAGCAGCACCAGCATCACCTAAGGGAAGGGTTGTTAGAAATACACACTCAGGCCCATCCCCAGGCCTGAGAATGAGAAAATGCATTTTAACATGATCCTAAGGGGATTTGTGTACACATCACAGTGTGAGCAGCACTAGCCTGTGTCTTTCTCCGGTGCATCCCTCTGCCCCATCTCTGCTGTGCCCCCATCTCCAGGCCACCACTACCTCCTGCTGCTTTACAGCTGCACCCCTGCCTCCTGGGAAACCTCTAATCTGTTCTCTACATCCGCTGTTGCCTAATAAAACACATATGTGAGCCTAAAACCCGTCACAGCCATTTCACTGCCCTCAGGGTTAAGTCCCTCTGCCCTGCTTGCCACCTCTCCAGCCCCAGTGCTCCCCGCCCCCCGAACCTCCCTTCACCCACCATACCCTATCTGACCTGAGCTATGACCTTTCCTCCAAAGGGCCTGCCTCATTTTCTCCTAACTGCCTTGGCACCAACTTTCCTTTGCCTGGGGCATCCTTCTCCCGCCATCCTTTTTGCTGGCTAAGTCCAAATAGATTGCCAGCTCAGTTTTCTCCCAGGGCAAGAGCGACTTCTGTCTTGGTCACTACTGTATCCCTAGCACCAGGCCACTGCCCCGGGTATGAGTCTGAATGAGGAAGCTGGCACCTCCCACCCCACCCCTGGAGCTCTCTCCTGCAGACCAGGCTGGCCCCTAACCCTTGCCCCAAATTGTGGGGGAAGCCAGCCTCGTTGCTGCTTAGGAGAGAGAGGCTATTTCTGTGCTGATGTCCAAGCTCAGCAGCAGACCCCCAGGAGCAGTGACTATGGTCCTGCCAGGGCAATCATGGAGAGAGGCAACAGGTCCAAAGCAGTCACAGTGCGCCAGTCACAGTGGGGCCCTCGCAGTCCCTGGCTGCCATGGGAGGGGCGGCTAACAGCCATACTTGTTGTCTGCGATGCTGTACACTTCAGCTGAACTGGTCAGCCCCGTATCTGTGACCCCCGCCGCTACAAAAATGCGGCCATCATGGATGGTGGCCCCGAAGAGCGAGCGGGCAGTCTGCATGGGTGCCAGCTCCTTCCACTCGAACTTCTTAGGATCGTAGACACACATCTTCTTCAGGCACTTCCTGGGGGGTGGGGGACAGGGAGTGAGAGGGAGGAAGCCCCAGCACCGCGCCCCTCCGTCTGGTGCAGTCGCCCCGACCCAGTCCCTGGCGGCCCGGGGACGCTGTGTTCCCGCTCTAGCCTGCACCCTGCGCCTGCGCTCGCTCCAGGCCCGAGCCTCACCTGTCACTGCCTTTGCCGCCAATGACGTAGACCAGGTCCATGTGGGAGAGCACCGCGTGGCCGTACACCGCGTAAGGCAGCGGGTCCGATTCGCCCCATTTGAACGACCTGGAGGAGGACGCAGTAGGGCGAGCGCCGGGTTCAGGGGTGCGCTGGGTCCCTGTCTCTGCTTTCACCCACCCACCCAACACGTATTTGGGGTGCACCCGATGCATTACGGGCACCTGTCGGGTCCCCGCTCCCACCCCGCTGCCAACCGCCCCGCCCCCATCCAAGCCCGCCTCCGCGAGGCCTGGCTCGGCTCTGTCTGGCCCCCACCGCGCCGCCGTCCGCGCCCTTGTCGCCCCCCGCGGGCTTCGCCCGCCCAGCCCCGCCCACAAGCCACGCCACGCCCCCTCGACCTCGCCCCGGCACCGCCCCCTACGTCCCGCCACGCCCCCCTCGACCACGCCCCTACGTCCCGCCACGCCCCCTCGACCACGCCCCGGCCCCAGCCCCGCCCTCCGCTCCCCGCTCACAGCCGGTCGTAGCACATGACCGAGTCTAGGCTGCGCTCGCCGTCCTTGAGCTCTCGGCCGCCGACCACGTAGATGGAGTTGAGAGCCTCGCCCAGGCCAAAGAGGCAGCGCGGCGAGGGCAGCGGCGGCATCCCCAACCACTCGGAGTCCAGGTGGTCAAACTGCGGGCCGGGGGTCCAGTCAGTCACCGGCCCCCATGCCCCCCCCCTTCCCCAGGTGAGCCCTGCGCAGCCTCCCCGGGTCACAGAGGAGGCCAGGTCTCCAGGCAGGGCCAGCGAAGCCCGGAGGTCATCCCTGGAGACAGTGCCCTGTCCTCTTTCCAGGCTGAGAACTACCGAGGCCCTCTGGAGGTGGGCGCCCAGGCACCAGCATTACAGCACCACGATGGGGCACCCCACGCAGAGCCCTGCCCCTTCCCCCACGTACAAATCCGAAACTGAAGCCTTCCCGTCCTGTTTTCCACCCCATCCCACCAAACAGAAAACCTCCAAACACAGCTCTGCCACTCATCTCCTAAAATCTACAGTGTAAGTCTGCGACCCTGTATACATCCACAGTCTCACAACCATATTTGTGGTTCATCTTTCTGGA